AGTAGAAACTTTGTATTTGTGGGGAGAAGTATATAAGAACTCTCTGTACCTTCTGCTCAAATTTTCTGTCAACCTAAAACTGCTTTATTTTATTTTTTATTTATTTATTTTGTGTGTAGCGTGCTTTTTTCTTCTTCCAGTTTTTAGTAAGGTATTATATGTGTACATATAAAAACTGCTTTACAAAATAAAGTCTATTCATTAAAAAATTAATAATGGGAGATAAGAACACATATGTAATAACTTAATAAAGAAATAAAAAATTTAAAAGATAGTAGCGCATGAACAGACACCAGAGCAACTAGAGGAGAAAGGCCAGAAATAAACCTAAATATATACAGGAATTTCGTAAATTAAAAAGGTGGTATCTCCGATCATTGGGGAAGAAAGGATTGAACTCATTCAATAAATACTATTGAGGTGACCAGGTAACCATCTGGAATAAAAGTCTGATATGAACCTGGCTGGTGTGGCTCAGTGGTTGAGCATGTACTTATGAACCAAGAGGTCACAGTTTGATTCCCAGTTGGGGCACATGCCCGGGGTTTTGGGCTACATCCCCAGTAGGGAGCATGCAGGAGGCAGCCCATCAATGATTCTTCTCATTGATATTTCTGTCTCTCTCCCTCTCCTTTCCTCTCTGAAATCAATTAAAAAATATTTTTAAAAAGTTGGATATGTATATTAAATGAAGAAAAAGGAGAAAAAGAAAAAGGGGAGGAGGAAGCAGTTGCAGCTGGCAACTAATTTTCATCTTCTATGGGTCAGCTATGCTCTTACCTCCATGGGGTTGATGAGCGTCTGGGAGATGGCCACAGCCAGAGAGCCAGCAAGGAGACGTTCCTGAAAGGGTGGGGACCCATGCAGGCCACAAAAATAATTCTTACACTAGGACAGGAGAGAAGAGCAAGAGCGAATAACTAATCGTCTTTCTACCTGAAACCCATGTGGAGGGAGAGAACTGGAGGGTGAACGTCTTGGGTTGTGATCTGAGCTTTGGGGAAGTGGTGGTGGTATAGGAGAGGTGAGGACTTAAGGGTGGGACTGGGGAAAGCAGACCATCTCCCACCTGTTCAAAGACGGAGAACTTGATGGCGTACTCAGGGGCTATCTTGAGTATGTTGATACCATTGCCCCGCCATAGGGAACGGAAGCCCCCCTCTTGGACCATGCTTTGTAGTCCCCCCAGTAGATTCATGAAGTTCGTCTTGGAGGAGTAGACCTGATGGTAGAGAGGTCCCTGGGCCCGTGAGAAGTCCTCCACCCTATCTTCATCCCCCATCCCATTTGGAACTCAAGCCCATCCTGTCCCCAGTCGCACAACCCCTCCCATATTCCCATTCCTTCTCCAAATCCTGCCCTGGATGGTGTTAGAATGCTCTAACCAGGCGTCTTCAAACTACGGCCCGCGGGCCACATGCAGCCCGCAGAGGAGTCTGATCCGGCCCGCCAGGTTTTTTGGGCAGTGAGCGCAGCCGAGGTGTTACAGTAGGAATTAGTAGTTCATATAGTCCGGCCCTCCAGCTCTCTGAGGGACCGTGATCTGGCCCCCACTTTAAAAAGTTTGAGGACCCCTGCCAGTGAATGCAGACCCAGATCCCACACGGAGCCACATTTTCATCTCATCCATCTTCCTCTCCTCTCCAGTCCTACTTTGTCTTCAAAGACTGCCATCCTCAACCCCTGATTCCCAAACCCAGCCCTGTCCCTGGTACCATTCTCTCAACTCTTTCCCCAAGTCAGCTCCATGGGCGGTGCTCCAGGTCGTTTTTACCCAAACACTCTCCATCGGCTTCACATTCACATCAGCTCCATCGCCATCCGCAATTCAAACCCTTTCTCCGTTTCCATTCAACCATCCCACCCTCCTGCCTGCTTCCAGTCCTCCCTCCCACCCCCATCCTGAGCTCCATCAGCTCAATTTCTGTCCATCCCTACCCCAATGGCTTCAGCGCCATGGCCCCCCACCCACACGCACCTGCATGTACACCTTGGCACGGTCCAAGGGGGCTGTGCCAGTGCGAGACACTGCCCCAGCCATGGCTCCTGAGAGCAGGAACTTCCACAAGGCTCCCACGTTATCCACTTCCAGGACATCTATGGGCACCATCAACTGCTCTCCTGTGTCAAGTACCTGCAGGGCAGACTCAGCTGCTGCCCATGCTCAGCCAGGCTGGAACCAGACACATCTCCAGAACCCCCTCCCAGTGAAAGGCCCACCATAGTCCTCACTGCTTCGGGATGAAATTCTAGGACTGCTTGGAGGGAAGTGGATCATGTAGAGGGGTGGGCAGTATGGCTTTCTCCCCCTGAAGTTCTGGCTGGAGACACTGAGTGACCTGTATCTCACCTGCTGTGATGTGAGGTGCTCCAGGTCGTTTTTACTCACATGCCCAAACACATATCCATACACGTGAGTATAGCCTGGGTTCCAGAAGACAGGTGGGGGTGGGGACAGGGGTAGAGTGGGGGGCGAAGGTTTGGTGAATAAGGCCTTGGCCCTCTTCAATAGGGTCTGGGTCCTTGAGCAAGGGTTCTGGGCGTCCTCAGGTTTCACGACCATGGCAGCCAGAGAGTCAGGACATTGAGGTTCAGATGCCTGGTGAGAGGTTTGCCTACCAGCAATCATGTGGGAAGTTGTAAATTTGCCTTGTAAATTTGGGTCCCAGGGATAATGAGGTCACAGAGGCCCTTGTGATCTAGCTGGATAGGGTGGGCAGAGTGAAGGTCTCCCCTCACTCTGTTCATCACTCTAAACCTGTGAATGTGTTATGTTACATGAGGTGGGGGTGGATGTTACGTTTGCAAATGGAATTTAGGTTGCTAATCAACTGATGGGGAGATGGACAGATAATACAGGATCAACCAAATGGGACCAAGGCACTTTCATGAGTCCTTAAACAGGGAAGAGGGAGCCAGAACAGTTGGTGTTGGAGTCATACAATGTGAGAAAGGCCATTGCTGGCTTTGAGGATGGAGGGTGGGCCACCAGCCGTGGAATGCAGGCGACCTTTAGAAGCTGGAAAATGCCTGGAGGTTCCAGAAGGAGCCAGCCCTGACGACAGCTTAATTTTATCCCAGAGAGATCCATGTCATGTTTCTGCCCTCCAATTATAATACACTGGTGCTGTTGTAAGCCACCAGTTTGGCGTCACTTGTTACAGCAGCCATAGGAAACGAATACAGCATTTCATTGTCATGGCAACAGGAGATAAAAGTGGGAGAGAATGGGACAGCTCTGGAGCTTGGGGGAGAGGGACACAGTTGATCTCCCAAAAAAGACAGGAATAGGCTTGGAGTCAGGAAGACCAGAGTTTGGATCTCACATCATACACTTCTTGCTGTGTGACTTTGGAGGACACCCACCTTATGTCTCTGAGCTTTAGTTTCTCCACCTGGAAATGGAAGTAATGAAAAACTCTACCAGATAGTGTTGTCGGTAGGATCCAACAAGAGTCTTCATAGAGGGCATCTCCATTCTCCTCCCTCCCAAGAAAAACCTTTTATTTTGTAGGCGGGGAAACTGAGACTTAGAAAGAGAAAAGAAGCCTGTCTGGTGCCACACTGCAAGTCAGTTGCATAGCCTCCTAAACCCCAGCCATAGCATCATGGGATATAAGAATGCAGACACAAAAATGGACGTTAACTGGTCCAATTAAGTAAACTTAAAATGCTGCCACTCTACGCAAGCATGGTGGTAGGAACACTGGTAGTGCTAATTCCTTGTTGAAATCGGTGTATATTACATAACGATTTTTCTGGTGGCATGACTCCGAGATAGCAATATCCTTTGACCCACTCCCGGGAATTGATGCTAAGGACATAGTTCAAAGGAAGTAAAAATACAGGAGTTAGCAAGACTTGATGCCTTATTTGGGTATGTGGAAAATCGTATCTGTGGATGTGCCTATGTATCAGTGAGCTACTGCTACATAATCAATTACCCGCTTACCCCCCAACACACACACCCCGCAGCAGCTTAAAATGCAAACAAGATAGATAGTAGCTGCAGTTCACTTACGATCTAATCCTGGAAGTGATATACTGTACCGTCAATTCTGCTGTATTCTCTGGCCCAAACAAACTCACCTTGGTACAGTGGGAGAGGGGATTACACAAGAATGTGAATACTAGGGGCAGAAATCATTGGGGGACATCTTGGAGGGTGACTATCACGGTCCACACAGGAGTTGGGACATGGGAAGATAGGGAGAAAGTGGAATGCTGGGCCTACAAGCCAGGGAACACCAAGGATTGCTGGCAGCCACCTGAAGCTGGAAGAGGCAAAGGAGGGTCTCCTCTGGAGTCTTCAGAGAGAGTATGAGCATGCCAACCCCTTGATTTCGGACATCTACCCTCCAGAACTGTGAGAGAATACATTTCTGTTTTTGTGTTTTTAAGAATTTCTTTATTGTTGAAAGTATTACAGATGTCCTCCTTTCCCCATCCCCCATTTACCCCCCCCCCCTCCATAAGTTTCTGTTGTTTTTATTCATGATAGCCAGAAGGTGGGAAACATCCAAGTGTCTACTAATGGATGAATGGAGCATCCAGACAATGGAATATTACGCAGCCGTCAAAAGGAAGTAAATTCTGACACATAGTGCAACATAGATAAATTCTGAGGACATTATGCTCAGTGAAATGACCCGGACAAAAAGGACACACTGAGTGATTCCTCTCACAGCAGGTTGCTAGAGTCAGATTCAGAGACAGAAAGTATTAGATGGTGGGAGACAGGGGCTTGGGGGAAGGGAGTGAATGTGTAATTCGGATAGAGTGTCAATTTGGGAAGGTAAGAAAGTTCTGGAGATGGATGGTGGGGACGGTTGCACAACAATGTGAATGCATTTAATACCACCGAACTGTACACTTAAACCTGATTAAAATGGTGTGCTCGCTTTAGCAGCACAGGTACTAAAACTGGAATGATACAGAGATTAGCATGGCCCCATGCACAAGGATGACACACAGACTCATGAAGCAGTCTATGTTTAAAAAAAAAAATGATTGAAGTGGTAAATTTTATGTTATGTGTATCTTACCACAATACAAAATATCAATCTAAAATGTGTTGTTTTAAACCCCATTGGTGGTAACTTGTTATGACAGCCCCAGGAAACACTTGTGTAAATAGGAACAATACAAAAACGATTAGAAGGGCTCCTGCATATGCACTTCTTGCCCCACTTTACAGATGTGGAAGCTGAGGCTCAAGGAGTCATTTCTTGGTCTCCTCCAGCTGTGAGTGATGGAAGATGGTCCATGTCTTTTTCCTGTGGGTAGTTTGAGGGTATCCCACCTCCACCCGCCCCTTTCAGTAAAAACCACAATGAAAAGAGCTTAGAAATGTATTCTTTTTGTTCTTTTGCTTTGAAATAACACATACAGGCAGGGATGTGGGGCACGGTATAGGTGGGGAGAGGTGGAAGCATTGGGGAGGTCCTTTACCCACCACAGTGGTTCCTCTTCTGTAGTCCTTTAATGGGTTCTCCAAGGACTTGGGAAGAGTGGCGGAAGGGGTCCCCCAATTAAGAATTCAACTATAAAGTGCAGAATGTATATGGGGTGTTGGGGCTTGGGTTAGTTGGGGGTTGGGGGGGGGGGAGGGAATGTCTGCTCTTCTCCATAGGAAAGTAGACCTGGAGTGAGTTCTGGGGGGTTGATTGGTTTTGCATGATTGGAAGGTTGCTCTGTGTAGACAAACTTGCTCTTGGCTTCCACCTCTGAAGCCTGAGAGGCTGGTAGTGCTGAGCTGGGGGGAGGTCCCCTTAATGTGTCCCCCACCTCACATTGCCTCACTGCCAGCCCCCAAGAGCGAGCAGCAGGACCCTCCAGAGCACCTAGGCTCTGGGAGTTATCAGCTCATAAGGTGGGGAATGGAAGACGCTGCAGAGGGTTGTGGGAGCAAGGTCCCCATAGGGCCCAGAGGCATGGCCATGCTGGGGAAGTAGGGGGATCCAGTGTCTGTGCAAGGCATGAGAGGGGCAGCTAGCCATATCAGGACATTGAACTAGTCCCATGGGTTTTCTGGAGCCAGAGGACGTGAAGTTCCTACAGGCTCCCAGGTCTGTGTTGTGGTGGGGAAGGTCTCTGGGCTCTCATGCGTGTCTGGGTTAGGGGACATATGGGGCCATTTTGCTGTGATTAGCCCACTGGGATCTAGATATGGGATCTGAGCCAGTGTCTGGGAGGATTCAGGTCAGAATCCAGGGGCTAAGGAGGTGGGAGCCAGTGCCTGGGAATGTCAGGGTCTGTTTCTTGAGGGTGGAGTTTCAATATCCAGGGCCTGTGTGAAGGGATTAGAGAGCCAACTGCTGCAGTTGCCAGGACCCAGTCGCTCTGCACTGGGCTCTCGTGATTGTGGTTTTAGGAGCCGGTGTCTCAGGGCTTGTGGATCTGGAATCCCGTGGGCTAGGGGCTGAGGGTACAGTGGTTTAAATATAGGGATCTGGCAGTCAAAGCAGAGGGATCTGGGACCCAGTGAGGTAAAGGGAGTCAGGAATCCACTGGCTGGAATGAGGGGATATAGGATCCAGTAGTGGGGGCCCCAGGATCTGGGCATTACATGGCCAGGAACTGGTGGCTGAGGTTTCTTAATATTCAGGATCCAGTGGCCAAATTTGGGAATCCAGGGATTGGAGCATGGAGGTCTGGAATCTGCTAGTGGGGCTGGGGATCTGGGATCTAGTGCTGTAGGAGGAAACTGGATCTGGTGCCTGAGGGAGCTGGGGTCTGGGTGCTTAAAGGGATATGTGCTCCTGTGGTTAGGGTTTCAGGATTCATCAGATGAGTTGTGGGGGATCCAGTGGTTAAGACATGGAGGCCTAGGACCCAGTGTGTGTGTGTGGGTAGTGGGGAGAAAAGAGAGGAAGGGAGACAGGGAAACATGGATCCAGTAGGTGGGATGTGGGATGCAGAACCCAGAGGATGAAGTATAGGGATCCTGTGGTTTGAGTGGGATCCACTGGCTGGGCCATCAGTCTCCAGTGGTTGAGGTGTAGGGTCATCATGACTGAGGTGAGGAATCTTAGTGAGGGCGGCTCTGGATCCCTCACCTGGACGTGACCCCCAGAGCCTGCTTCATGTTCTCGTAGACCACATAGGAGATGCTCACAGCTGGGATAACCTTCATGAAGTTGGGGGCGATGCCCCTGTAGAGGCCTGGCATGCCCTCCTGGGACAGGATGTGACGGAGCAGACCCAGCATGGAGAACTGGGGGGCGCCCTCAATGGAGGCTGGGAGGGGTAGCGGTCAGTCAGGTCAGGTCAAAGGTCCCCCTGTCCCTATCCCTTCCCACCCCTCAGGGCTGGGCCAGGTGGCAGTTACAGTAGGATAAAGGAAGGTGAGACTAACAGCAGGACCTACCACTCAAGAGTCAGGACTTCTACTGGCCTGAAAATGGACTGTTCACCTTTTTACTTCAATCTGGAGTGCCCAAAACAGAGCAGGCATGAGTGCGTGTAGTGGGAGAGGGCACAGTAGTGTCCTCTTCCTGGAGTGATCCGCACCTGCTTCTCCCAGCTAACTCTTACTCATCCTTGCAACCTCCATTCTAAAGCTCTTCATGGAAGCCCTCTTGGGCCCCCAGTCTAAGCCAGGCTCCTTTCTGCCTTTATTCAACCCTAAATCCATACTCAATTGTGGAATGGCTTATTCGGTATCTTTCTTCCTCTCCAGCCTGTGAACTACATCTGCCTTATGCCTTGATAATCCTTCAGTGAAAATCATGGGCTGAAACCGGTTTGGCTCAGTGGATAGAGCGTCGGCCTGCGGACTGAAAGGTCCTAGGTTCAATTCCCGTCAAGGGCATGTACCTTGGTTGCGGGCACATCCCCAGTAGGGGGTGTGCAAGAGGCAGCTGGTCGATGATTCTCTCTCATCGATGTTTCTAACTCTCTATCCCTCTCTCTTCCTCTCTGTAAAAAATCAATAAAATATATTTTAAAAAAATCAAATCAAATCATGGAACACAAACGCTAAAATTTCCTGGGAAATTCTCAAAATAGAGTCAGGGATAATAGGGGAAATCAAAGAAAGAACTCGTGAAAGAAAAATACAGAGAAACATAAAAGGATAACCAGGCTGGCCCTGCCCCTCCTTAGCCCGTTCCTCACCTTTCCTCATTAACCCAGCCTTGCAAATTAGATCTCGAATTACCAGCCCAAATACGCTGAAGTCTACCAAGTGACCTCCCAACTAAGATTGCTAGGGCCCTTCCAGTACTCATTGCATCCGCTCTCCTAGTTCGGGCAAAGAACTCTCATTCCAATGTGGGTACACGGAGGCCCAGAGAAAGGTTGGGGATTGGTTGAGCCATCTGAATCCAGTAGTATTCCAGCCTGGAATTCTACCCACTCAGGAGGAAAAGCTGGGGAAGTGGAGATGGGACCCAAATTGTGAGACTTTTCCACCCATCCTCCCACCCAGGCCTCACCTTGGGCCTGCATACGGGTCCTGATCAGGGCCAGGGGGTAACTGGCTATCTGGCCACAAGTGCTGGAGATAGTGCCACAGGCCAGGAGCACGAGGATGCCCGGGTCAGCCGAGTCGTGGCTATATTGCTGGAGCCACCGGTTCTTCAGGGTCTGGGGTGAAGAGGGGAATAGGGTGGGTTGAAGGTGGGCCTTGGCTTCAGAGACCTCGCTATATCGCATGACAGCTAGTTCAGCACTTGGTACCCCTAAATGCGACACAATCATTTTACCTGCACCCCTTCACTCAGTCCCCACCTCTACCCTTTGGGATGATGCCCCTCTAGTCCCTGGATCCTGTGAATATGGAACCTTACATGGCAAAAGGGACTTTGCAATGGGATTAAGTTAAGGACTTTGAGATGGGAGATGATCCCCGAGTATTCAGGTTGGTTCAATGTCATCACAAGGGTCCTTATAAGAGTCAGAGAAGCCCTGGTCAGTGTGACTCAGTTGGTTGATGTTGACCTGTGCACTGAAAGTTTGCCAGTTTGACTCCCAGTCAGGGCAAATGCCCAGGCTGTGGACTTGATCCCCAGTAGGGGGCATGCAGGAGGCAGCCAATTGATGTTCTGCTCTCACATCAAAGTTTCTCTCCCTCTCCTTAGACCACATGTGTCAAACACAAGGCCCGCGGGCCAAATCCGTCCCGCCAGGCCTTGCAATGTGGCCCGCACCGCGCTGTCATCACTGCACTCCACTGCGTTTCCATCACAGTGACAGTTTATGACTGTTCAGTAAACCATTCGGCCCGCGATTTAGGCTGGAGTTTAGATTTTGGCCCCTTCTCTGATTGAGTTCGACACCCCTACCTTAGACATTCCCAGACGTGCCCTTCTGTCCACTGCTACTTTTGATTACAAAGCCAGCTTTATTGTCTTATGAGAGTCCATCAGGATCTAAAATTACTTGTTTACTGATTGGCTGGCTTCCTAGTTGAATTGCTTTCTATGAGGGCAAGGGCTGTGTTTTTATCCTTTGATAGAGCAGCCTGCCCAGTGCCCAGCAAATATGGCTGCTTAAGCAAATGCAAGCATGCATGAATGAATGAAAATATGAGTAAGTAATGGCCATGTCTTATTTAACTCCATAGATGCTAGGTGCTGGGAGGGCAGGTATGAATGGCAGATATAAGAGGATCTTAGATCAGGACCAGCTCCATAATTTGCAGGGCCCAGGGAAAAACAAAAATATGTGAGCCAAGTGAGGAGCGCTTCTGAGTCGGGGTGCATGGTTGTGTACCCATGAAGTTGACCCATTCCCTGGATACAAAGACTTTGTGGGATGTCTGGGAACATCTGGGGCGGTGCTAACCAGGGACAACCTGGTGATCCCACCAGGAGAAGGTAAAAGCAATGGGCGAGGCTTGTGGAAGAGAAACAGCAAACTCCCTATTCTTTCCCAGCCGGATGTGGCTCAGCGGTTGAGAGTTGATCCAGGAAACAAGAGGTCACTGGTTCAATTCCTGGTCAGGGCATATGCCCAGGTTGCGGGCTCCATCCCCAGTGGGGGGGTATGTGCAGGAAGCAGCTGATTGATGATTCTCTCTCATCACTGATGTTTCGATCTCTCTCTCCCTCCCCCTTTCTCTCTGAAATCAATAAAAATATATTTAAAAAAATAAACAAAGTCCGTTCTTGCCTTTCCTGATAAAGGTACTAAGATGCTGGTCACAGGGCGTGGATTTTATGGTGACACAGATGTTGAAATGGCAGGCTCTGGGGAAGACATTGGCCTGGAGATATAGGCTGGGTTTAAGATAAGCTTTGGGGCAAAACGGGCACCTTTGAAGCTCATCTTGCCTGCTCTCATAATTCTATGAGCCAGAATAAGTCCCGAATATCATGTGTCCTGAGACCCCGGAAGGCCGAACTGCCATGGTAAGTGAATGAGTGAGGATATCTAACGCCTGAACGGGTTCCCCAGGATCCCAGGTCCATGGTGCTTCTCTACCCCAGGATTGTCTCCCCTGGTTCTGGAGGTCAACTGAGTCAGCCCCTCAGGAATGGGTGGCCCATGGGCAGATCCCAGAGGGAAGAAGAAAGGAGAGGAGGGCAGGCTGCCACATACCTCGTAGACGGCCAGGTCGATGCCTGCGTAGGGAATGATGCCCAGCACGTTGGGCAGGTAGCCGTGGTAGAAGGCACGGGGCCCTTCTCGCTCCATGATCCGCCATGCACAGTCGAAGAGCCCCTTGTACTGGCCCGTCCGGCGAAGGGTCAGCCGTGTCTTTAGTACCTGGGGAGAACCCGGTTATCCCTGGAAAGCTGCCTCTGGAATCACTACATCCAGGAATGAAGGTATCTATAAATAGCTACTCCTAGAAGGAGATACCCTGAGAATAAGTGAATTTAAAAAACCGCTTTCTCTAGAATCTTCTGCTATCTCTAATCTCTATACTTAAAAATGATTACATGTGGCAGCCGCTGCTAACAATCTTTCAATATCATGGTCCCTTCTCCCTTAATAAAAGAAACCATCATTTTCAGGAAATTATGGTCCATAGCCTTTAGAAATAAAGACTACATTTCTCAGTTCCCCTAGACATAGGACCATGTGATTCAGCCCTGGCCAGTGAAACAGAAGCAGGAGAAGAGGTATGTGTAACTTTCGAAAAGCATCCTTAAAGGCAGGGAGATGTTCTGCTCTTTGTCTCTTCTCCTTTCTTGGCTGGAATGTGGATGTGATGAGCAAGAAGTCATTTCTGTCCACAAGGTGGATGCGACTGTGTGGAGGTGGTGGAACCACAAGATAGTGGGAAGGAGCCTGGGTCTCTAACACTTTGAAGCCACACGCCAGCACCTTTAGACTTCACTTATGTGATTTGAGTTTTCCTTCACTCAGAATCCTACCTGACGCACTCTACAACCTAAAACTTAAAATGATTTCTTTGAAAACAGGTTTACCTAGAAACCATACCCTTAGGAACAAGCATTTTGGAAATTAACATCCTTAGAAGAGGTATATGCATAAATGGCTTCTCCCGCAATGGCTGTCTAAACAGTTACAACCAACACCACCATCCCCAGAAGTCACATCTCAAATTGCAGTTCCCAGAGAGACTAGCCATGAAACAGCATTGCTGTAATGAGCTACAGTCTGAGTTGGGGAGGGGCAGAGTTATAATCCCAACACTTATCACACCAAAAAAGAGAAATGATCACTGCAGGCCTCCCCACCCGCAACGGGGCCTCCGTCAGGGTCCCCCCTTCTCACCTCCATGGGGTAAATGATGGTTTGAGCTGTGGCACCAGCCAAGGATCCAGCCACAAAGCGCTCCTGCACATGCAGTGTCTCCTGCTGTCCCCGAATGGCCCGCTTGAACTGAGGGTGGGAGACACAGCGGGGGGCAGGACCTCAGGGGGTGAGCTTTCCATGCGCGTGGACCGCCCCTTTACTGTCCTCCTGTTATGGGCATCATGCAGGGGAACAGATGCACATTCCTGGGGACCTGCAGACATCCCCCACCCCCAAGCCAATTCTGTGAATCCTAGCTCATGCCTCCCCACAATTGCCCCCACCTGCTCATAGGCCATGAACTTGATAGCTGACTCAGGTGCAATCTTGAGCACATTGATCCCGTTGCCACGCCAGAGAGAGAGCACGCCCCCCTCTTGGACCATGTTCCGTAGGCCCCCCAGGATGTTCAGCTGGTTGGTCTTGGAGGAATGGACCTATGCAGGGAGACAAGGTGACTTTGCAGTCCCTTCCAGGAGCCCAGGTCTCAGGAAGAGGGTGCGTCTCTCCGGGGCCCCTTACCTGCATGAAGACCTTGAGGCGGTCCAGAGGGGCTGTGCCTGTCCGTGACACGGCGCCCGCCACTGCACCGGCCACCAGCTGCTTCCACCACATGCCCGTCAGCTTCTCCTGCTCTGAAAACTCATCAGGGATAGTCAGGCACTCGCCGATGTCCAGGACCTGAGGATGTAGGGGTGGAGAGATGTAACTCAGCTCTAAATAGAGGTGTCTCCAAGAATCCTCAGATACCCAAACAGTCCACCAATGAATCTTGGAGAGCCCAGGTGAACCCTACCAGATCCCACCAAAACATCCAAGTCAGTCATCTGTTTCCCATGTAAGATCTTACTATCCCTCCTTGGGGACTTTGACTAAATCCCATTGAAGCTTTTGCCACATCAAGATCTCTCCAGAGCCAGTCGGGTCCCTCTGAAGGAACCCACCCAAGGTTCTCCCACATAAGGATTCCAGAAGATCCTTCCAGGGTCACACAAGATCCTTCAGGGGACCTCTCATATAAGGCGCCCAGTAGATCCCTCTCTAGCTCTCACCAAATCCCATAGCGATTTCTTCCGCAGAGATAACCCCTCCTCTGGAGTTCTCCTATAAACTTCCCAACCAAGCCCCTCCAGGAATCCCCTCGTGAGCTTCTGGACCTCCCAAGATCTCACCATATCCCATAAACAAATTCTTTCCAAATGCCATCAGTTCCTACCAAAAACATTGTTCAGGAATCCCCCCATTCCCAACCCCTAGGAAATGGCAAACTAGAGCACCCCTCCCCAATTCCTGTGGATCCCATTGGAACTTCTGGAGGCAGTTGCTTCTTGTCTTTTCAGCAGCAGAATCCTTAATTGAGTCATTTAAAAACCAGAAGGGGGAGCTGCGTGGGTTGAGGGTAGGAGGCCAGGTGCCCTATTTGGTGAGCTCTTTCCTCCCTGCACTCCTATACGCCTGCTCCCAGAGGCCTCTCAGGAAGTCTCAAGGGCTCCAGTCAGATTGCAGAGACCTCCCCAAACGGGTCCGCAGCCCCCCAGTTCTGAGTGGAGGGAAAGAGGAGCAGAGTCTCTTTCCTTGGCTAACCCAGACCCTCCGTGCCCTGGGGAGACCTGAGCTAGGCCCCCGGGGGAGGAGGAAAGCCACCCCCACCTCACCGTGGAATGTTTCCAGAAGTAGAGCACGTCTTCCATATTCTCCAATGAATGCAACAGGAAGTGGTCTCGCCATTCCTGCCAGTCGATAGTCATAGTGCCATCACGGTCCATGCTGGGGGGGGATGGGACAGAATCAGTGCCTGATGCTGGGGGCTGGGTTGGAGTGAGATTCTGGTTGGATTTGGGGATAAACCAAGTTCGACTGCACTGAGAGCCGGCCATTTTACAGTGGGGGAAACTGAGGTTCAGAGAGGCGAAGCAACGGGCTCAAGGTGGACTTGACTCCAAAGCTCAGCTTCTCAGCTCGACCACCCTGGTACTTGGTCTGGGGCCCAGAGGCTCGAGATAATCAAGGGATCCCAGGGGCCAGAGTTACCTGGGATTCTGGACCCCAAGTACTCACCTGTGCAGAATTTTCTGGGCCTGCTCCAGAGAGATAGAAATGCCCAGAGCTCGGAAACTCTGCTGGATCTCAGAGACATCGATGTGACCTGGGAACCAAGGTGGGGAAGGGTGTGTGTGTTTGTGTGTGTGTGTGGGGGGGGGGGGGAAGGCCCTGGGACCGAGGAGCAGGGTAGTTTGAAATGAGAGTGGTTTAGCAAGACCAGGGGATCCAGAAACCCATTGGGATCAGAGAAGTGGGACTGGGCAATGTTGGGGAGGTCTTCTGACTCACGAATAAATGAAGATGTGAATGTAGGGGTAATTAGGGGGCTCCCTACACCAAAAGGGATCACGAAGTGATACTGGAGACCTAGAAGATACTATGGGGAGGAGGGTCTCTGTTCCATAGGGAACCCAGGAGCAATAGGCAGGATCTTTGTCCCTTTAAAAATTTTAAGCGTAAATTATAGGGGTCGCACTCTAGGAAGAGAAGGTTTGATGGGCTGGCTGGGCCCCAAACCACCTAGGTGGGGGTGAGGAGGGTTCCCAAAATAGCCTGTGAGTCATCAGGGAGAAGCGGGCCTTACCCCTCCTCCTGGCATCACCAGTTCTATGCCCATTGTTGTCTCCCGGGCTCCCACAGCCGCATCCCTGGGCTTACCATCCTGATTCCGATCCAGACTGTGGAAAAGGAGCAGCAGGCGCTGTTCCCGCTCCTGCAGGTATTGGGTAAACTCTTCAAGGTCCAGCCCGCCATCTGGGTCAGCACCACCCTCTGGGGAGAGGCCCTGGCAGCGGGGAAGGGACAAAGGGAGCTCCAGGAGGCTGCTCCCCGTCTGGAGAGGGCATAGCCAGCGTATGTCCATCCCAGGAACCCAGGGCCCCTGGTGCCTGGAGGACAGGGACAGGGGCATTCACCCCTGCCTCTGTCAGCAAGCTGTAAGGCCACGGTAGGGCTCCGAGGTGGACAGCGGTTGTCCAGTTTTCCCGGATAGCAAACTGAGGTTTTCCAAGGTCAAGTAACTCCTTCAAGGTTACTGAGTTGGGAAGTGGGAGGTAGCACTGGGCTCCTGTCTCTGACTGCCTGTCCTCCCAGCTGTCTTACAAAAACCTGGCCCTAAGGCAGTTTCAGCAGCTCCCCTTAGAGACAGCTCTGGGCCATGTGGAGCAAAGACAGGTCCAAGCGGAGCGGCAAAGGGGCCTGTGCTTTCCCCCTGGAAAGTGGAAGGTTGGACTGGAGATGTCAGGAAGCTCCAGAGCCACCCCAGTAGCATCTGGGGCTACAGGTGTGGGGGACACCTGCCTTTGGCCCAGGGGCAAGTTCATGCTTTGATAGGTGCATCCACAGGGGAGGTGTCCTCGGACAGGATTGGGTCCCTGGCTGGGACAGCCTGGGGCCCTGAGCCAGGTCTGGGAAAGGGCAGGAATGTAAACAAAGAGGCTGGGGCAACCGGTGGGGAGGGCAGTGGTGGCCCAGAGGAGGGGGGAGGGGAGAGCGTGTCTCCGTGGGTGAGAGCAGGGTACATCTTGGGCTGGGCAGTTGACCCGAGAGTGTGTGTGTTCGGGGCAGTGGGCAGGGAAGCAGACCAGACTCTCCTTTCGGGAAGACATGCCCTGCCTCTGGGGGGAGAGGGTGGGGACCCCAGCCCCGCTTAGAGCGGACTTGTTAGGCCCAGACAGACACGGTGGGCAAGGGGAAAGGAACAGAGCCGCCAGGTTGGGCGCAGGTGCTGGCGTCCAGCCACCGGCAGCTCCCGGCGGCTCCCGGCAGGCGTTCCATTCAGGGTCTCGGGTTACCCAGCGCCCGCGGGGCGCCAGCGCGGCTCGCCTGGCAGGGGTACCTGTTGGGCGCCTCGGTCCGGGTCGCCCCCGCCCAGCCGGGCCAGCCCCTGGCGCAACTCCTGCACGTCCACGCGGCCGTCCTTGTTGCGGTCCAGCTCCTCGAAGAGGCGACCCCAGCGCTGCCGCCGCTCCGCTTCGCCCGGGCCCCCCCGCATGGCGCCCTCCGGGGGGGAGGGAGGCCCGGCGGCGGCGGCCTCAGCCGGGGCTTCGCTGCACCCCCTCCCCCCCGGGGCCCCACAGGGCCGGCACCGCGGCCACCGCTACCGCAGCCTCCCTCCGCGCTGCCGCCGGGCTCGGGCTCGAGGCGGTGAGTGCTGGCCGTCGCCGCCCGCGTCAGAACCCGCGTCGCCTGCCCGACCCTCCGGGGGAGGAGCTGGGGCGGAGCTGGGGGCGTGGGGAGGGCTGTCAGGGATGGATGTTCGGGGCTGGCACAGCCCAGGGAGCACGGGGGTTCGTGCTGGGGAGAGGGGAGAAGGGCTGGCTAGATCAGGGGTCTCCGTTCCCCGTTCAGCGTCTCGCCTCTGCGTGCCTCGGTTTACCTTCCGCCCACGGTGGCAAGGCAGGGGGAGCTACCAGGGATTGGGCTTCGCCCTGTCTTTCCCACTGACACCCCATTTCCCCCCACTCCTAAGAAGCTCTCGTTTTCGCCAGACACGGTCCAGAACCAGCCCGGCGCCACCTGGCCCTCCGCCTGCTCGCCGCTCCCCGCACATCCCCCCGCGGCCACGGAAACCCGGGGACCCGGCGCCTCGCTGCCTCCCGGCCCGGCACCCGTCCGCTCGCCTCCTTTCTCGGCCCCTTGCGGCCCGGGAAACGGAAGACCAACGCGCGGCGCAGCGGCAAAGCCGCTTCCCATTCGCCAGAACCCCGGGAGCCTTGCCCGCCGGGCCCGCCGGGCCCACCCACCCCGGGCAGCCGCGGGCTCCGCCTCCCCGGGCTCGCCCCGTAGGCAGGCAGTCTTCCGGGGCCGCCGCCCCACCCAGGCGCCGGGCGGAGTGCTCTCTCCTGCCCAGCCTTGGGTGGGGGCGCGGGGAGAGGGGGGGGAGTCTCAGTGTCCCGGGCGCGGCTGGGCACCTGCACCGGGTGGGTAGCGGAGCGCAGCAGGAGGGGCCCCAGCTGGTGGTGCGTGCCCACGGCAGCTGCCGAGTATCCCTCCCTCCCACTGGTTTCGGGCGCAGTTTCTCTATGTATCATTAGGGGGAGGGGCGCCCAGGTCACCAGACAGCGACTAAGAACAACAGCTAACACGGCCACAGAGCGTTGCTCATGCCAGGCCTTTTACTCACCTCTCGGGTCGCCCTCCCTCGCCAAGCCCTGTGAGGTAGGTGGGACTCCGGCTTGCCCACTTCCCGGAGGAGGAAACGGGAGCCGATGGTGCTCTCCCCAGTCCACGTGCCCAGTAAGGGCGCACAGCAAGAATCTATCCAGACCTGGGATGCTTACCCATCACTCTATACCCTAAAAGGGATTACTTTGCCTGCAACCATCCCTCTTCACCCTGCAGTCCCCAAGAGGAGGGTCGTCTTATTAACGTCGTTCTTTATCCAAAGATACAGCCATTAAGGACTGGTTTCCACTCAGCTTTTGCCCAAACAGGTGCGTCTCAGACACACAAGCCTCTTCTAGATGCTTTTATTTAAAGGTGGTCCTTGCAGGCGCCCCTTCATCCCGGACGTTTACCGATGTTTCCCCACGGAGATACCCCCAAACAGGTGTTTTCTCAGATACATCCCTGACAGGTGGGCCTCAGGACACATAAACTGAGGTGACTAGACGTCCCGATTTTTAACAATTTGGGACGCGGGACAAATTGTTAAAAATTGTTAAAAACCAGGACGGTCCAGCCAAAAGCGGGACATCTGGTCACCTTAACATAAACCTATGTCCTGCTGTTACCCCCCCCCCCCCCCGTGCTTCATTGTGGCTGTGCCTCCTACACAGATCTTCTCAGGTCTTTCTCTCATGGGAGCTCCATTCGAGGCAGATGTTCCTCATACAAGACTCTTTCCTTCACCTCACTGGTGTGCTTCTCAGCAGAAATCCGGCCAGGAATGCTTTATACAGCGACCCCACCCACACATGTATGAAATGTATACCCGTATGGAGCCCCATACAGGTGTACTTAGGTGCAGGCGTGTCTCACGCCGGTATTGCCTATGCATCTCCACACAGAAATTAATTATCCAAGTGCTGTTCATCCCGTAGTTGAGCCATGCAGCCGCGTCTTCAAACCGTACACCAGGACGCCGCAGGCAGGTGCTTGTTAGAAGGCAGCTGTTCTGTACAGCTGTTTCCCACACAGGTGTGCTTCTTTGCAGCTATCCTCCGAGTGGATGTGATTCAAGGCAGGTGTCTCCCACAGGTGTGCTTCTCTCTCACATGTCCTTGCCGATGTCTTTTCCACAGATTTGCTCACCTGCAGGTGTGTACCATGCAGGTCAGTACCGCGCAGGTGTTTGTGTTCCTTAGGGACTTCCCATCCGGGTCGGTCCCAAACGGGAGTGCCTCCTACCGCTGCGTCTCCACGCCTCGTGTGTCTCCACACCTGTGCGATCTTACAGACGTGCCCACAATACACGCGGGAGTTTCCTCTGGCACTTTTTTTTTTTTTTTTTTTGCTTTTCCGCGTTTATACGATTGGGCTCCCGTTACAGGTGCGCGCGAGGTGCGGCCCCGCCTCCCGCCTGGCCCCGCCCCCTCCTCTCTGCTCAGGTGCACCAGCCGGAAGTGCGCTCCCCTCCCAGGTGAGTGACTAAACTTTCCGGGTCACGTGAGCGGGAGGAGCCGGTGTAGTCCGGCCGAGCGACCGAGGGACGCCCGGAGGAGGGTTCGAGCGAGGGAATCGGACCGGGAACCTGCGCGAGATCCCAGACGCCACCGGCGGGGCCAGGTAGGGAGGCGGGTCGCGCTGGTGGACCCGCCGCCTCCTTTCGCCGCCCGCTCCTCTTCCCGGAGCCTAGGAATGCACTTCCCCGAGTTAATTTTTAATCTCTGACCTCTGGCGGCGGGGCGGGGCGGGGCTGGACTCCCGGGTGCCCGGGCGCGGGTCGCCCCTCCCCGGGGCCTGCGCCTGCCTGGGTCAAGCCTCCTCCCCCACGCCCCGGCCTTTCTCCGTCTCCCGCCCGCAGGTGCCAAGTCCTGAGCACCTCCGGCCCGAGATGCGGTAGGAGCGGCGCGCCAGAAACCCTGTCCCTGGTGCCACCAGCCTCTCTCCCCAGGCCCATGGCGAGCCCCAGCCTGGGGCTGCTCCTGGCGCTCGGCCTGCCGCTGCTGCCGGCCCGCTGGGGCCGGGTCTGGGGGCAAAGTAGGTACCGGCAGGGGCGTTGGGGGACGTGGGACACCGAGAGGTTAAGAACTGGGGTGTGGGTGGGGGTGGGTGGGCATGGAGTGCCTTGGGGGCAGCAGTCTCTACAAGGTCAGGGCTGGGGATTTTGAATTCCTAATCCTTCCTTGGACGGTCGCAGTTGGTGTGGAATTCCTGAGTTCCTGATTGGGGTGGAATTATGAGCCGGAGGGAGAGGACGCCTGCATATCTGAGTCTCTGTGGTTGAGGTGTTTTGGGTTGCCTGGGAGCCTGGAGGAGGCCTGCCTGCCTGCCTGGGGCTCTGAGTTCAGGATGACGACCAGGCTGGCCATATGGGTGGACCCAGCCATTCAGTTCTTCCAGTTTGAAGAGCCTGGGGTGGGGATGGGGGTGGGAGTGGAATTAAATAGATACTCCAGGGAAAAGCAGGATCTCTCCAGACCTTTCAGAGCCAAGAAAAGGCCAGGTAGGTGGGGGAGGGGAGAGGAGGGGAAAGTTGGGCTTCGACACCATCCACTGTCATAGCCCCCAAGTCAGCGCAAACTACAAACTACTGTGGGCCGATTCCTCACTGCTGGGCTCCACGGGGCTGGGGGTAGCCTGGGTATCAGTACAGCTGGGCAGTCAGAAGGGCAGAGTTCTAACGGGGGTGAGGGCAGGGGAAATCCCCAAGGAAGGGGGCAGATGTGCCAGGATGGAGCTTCATTTATTCTCTCTACCACTTCCCCACAGCATTGAACTACTCTGCACATGAGAATAACACCACCACCCCATACCCCAGCTACAATGGGGCCCTGGTGAGTTGGGGGGGGGGTATATATGGCATGAAGGGAGCAGGGATTCTATTCAGAATGCTATTCACAAGTAGCAGGTGGAGGGGCCTGGATCTTCAGAAGTGGCAGGCCAGGATGGGGGTTGGCACTGGAGAACCCCAAGTGTGAGAGACCAGAATATCAACATGACAATTAGGGAGAGGCAGGGGCCCAGACTGGGGAGACCCAGAACCTCAGGAAGGGAGTGGATGGTGGCCAGTGTAGTGGGTCAGGAGCCCTATAGGCCTCTCAGGAGGAGGTGGGGGGGACAGGGGAGGAATAGCTAGGAACTCAGATGTGGCAGGTGCTTGGATTCCAGACTTGGTAGGTGTGGGGGACTGGGAGCCCCAAATGTGATAGGTGGGGGTCAGGGTGGAGGAACCAGATCACCAAAAGGAGCAGGTGTGTGTTGGGGGAAGAGCAGGTATGTGTGTGGGGAAGAGCAGATGTGTGTGGGGGGAGGAGCAGGTGTGTGTGTGGGGGGATTAGGAACCCTGGATGCTTCTAAGGTGGGGGTAGACAGGATCCCCAGATTCAGGGAAGTCACACCTGTCCCCTGTCTCGTAGTCTACGGAGGCCACCACTGCCATCATCGTGGTCTTCTCCCTCTTGGCTGCCCTGCTTCTGGCTGTGGGGCTGGTGCTGCTGGTGCGGAAACTGCGGGAGAAGCGGCAGACGGAAGGCACCTACAGGCCCAGCAGTGAGGAGCAGGTGGGTGCCCGAGCGCCACCACCCCCCAACCTCAAGCTGCCTCCTGAGGAGCGGCTCATCTGAGCGCTGGGGCCCGCCACCACCGCCACCACCACTACCCAGGACTGCCTAGCACCTGCTCCCACACAGCACCCACCACCGAGACACGAGCCCACGATGGCTCAGTTGGACTTTGGGGCCACGGGGCACCTGCCGGGCGGGCTCTGCGAAGCATGTCGCCTCTGCATGACTCTGCCTGCCATTGGGGGTGCCGGTGCTAGGGACCCGCCTTTCTGCTTGCTGCACCAGCTCCACGCAGGCCCGACAACGCCCCTCTCCTTTCCTTTCAGTTCTCCCACGCAACCGAGGCCCAGGCTCCCCAGGACTCCAAGGAGAAAGTGCAGGGGTGCCTGCCCATCTAGGTCCCCTTCCTCTCTCCATCTCCCTCCCTTGCTGTGTGACCTTGGGGGAAGGCGGATCCCACTCTGAGCCTTCAAACCCTGGGCTTAACAGAAGGGAAAAAGGTGCTTCAAAACTCTGCCCCTGAGGGCAAGAGAGGCGGGGATGCTCATATTTTATATATATATATATAATGTGTAAAATTAGTAGTGAGATATAATAAATCCTTTTTTTAAACTGGTGGAGGCAGAAATTAGCCTAGATGGAGGAGGTAAATGCAGGGCTGGCTCATAGGCCGCGGAGGATGAATTGCAAGGTTTCGAGGGTCTTAGGGGCTGGGAGGGTTTCCTGGAAGGGAGGCTCTTCACGCCCCTGAGGAGCCAGTGGGGAAGGTGTTGGGTGGGATGGGTTTATGCGCAGAGAGAGGGCCGGAAAGAAACAGCGTTGGGCTCTTGAGACTTTATTGAGAGAATGGCTTCTCCTCCCGGTGCCTGGTCCTTAACCTTCAAAACACTTTTTAAGCTCAGCAACTCTGGGCCGGTTCCTGGCCTGGGGCTCCTGCCAGTTGCTGGCGGGCACAGCAGGGGCTCTGGGGCTCTCTGGGAAACCGGCATCTGAGGTAGCACCACGGGTTTGCCATGTCCAGGTGGTATCTGGGTGGGGCTTGGTGGGCAGCGGAGGTTGGGGGCTCTCTGCACGGCTGGGCTGGGTGGGCGCTGTGGAGAGCTGGGAGCAGGACCTCTCCTCCCCTCTGGGCTCTCCGGCGGCCTCGTGGAGAGGGGAGAGATGAGGAGTTTGTCGATGGGGCTCTGTGAGAGAGGATTGGAGGTCCCCTCGGCTGCTTGGCTCTGCAGAAGCTATTAAGGATTGGGTTAAAGAAGTGACTTCTTGGCTGGCCTCGGAGGGAGTGAGGTTCCTGGAGGACCCTGTGGTATCCGGAGGCTGGGGGCTTTGTAGAGATGGCAGGCCGGCAGGCAGGGACTGGGAATAGGGTTCTGGGAGGTCCTCCTCATCTGGCTGCCACCTTTGTCTTCCTGGTAAGTTAGGCTGGACAGGGGTGGGGGGATGGGAAGATTAGCAAGTTGCTGAACTTCAAAGGGGGAGGGGAGTGGCTAGTTGGGTGGGCAAGTGGGAGAGGACTGGAGGGCTCACCAGGCTGAGGCAGCTGTCCGAGTCCTCTCTGTGGCAGCAGTCTAAGCTCTGGCTGGACCGCAGGCTGCCTGTCCGTGTGGCTCCCGTGCTCAGACTGTCTAGTATCTCACTCAGCAAATCCAGTTCTTCCCCAGACCCCAGGAAGCTGCTGTCCAGAGCCTCCTCTGCCCAGGAGTCCTGGGTATCCTCAGGGCTCAGAGACGGTGTCCTGTGTGAGGTTAGGTAGCCTCCGATATCTGCCCCAAACCCCCAGCTCTGGTCTGGTGGCTCTGGCTGGTTTGAAATTTGGGGACCATCTTCCCCATTAGTTCTGGCCTCCCGCTTACAATATTGCCCCCTCTTCTGCCTTTGAGCCTTACCTCTCCCCCAGGGACTCAGAAGGTCTCTCTTCCTGCCGGTGTCTCCTGCTGGGGCGAAGGGGCCGGTTCTGCAAAGGACAGGTTTGGAGGGGTGGGGCCCCAGAAGCTAGAGTCAGGGGAGCTGTGTGAAGGAGGGTGAGTGGGAAGCGGGCAGCAGATACTGGGGTACAGGAGGAGGGAGGCAGGTTGTCTCGATGGAGATTGAGGATGGGCGGAGGACTTGGGGATAATTCCGGGCGTGTGCGTGGAGGCGGGGCATCTTACCTGTCCAAAGTGCTGGGTGATAGGCAGACGCTGCTGCAGGTGATCTGAGCGACTGGTGAGGGAGAAAGCCCTGAGGGAGCCCCCCCTCTGCAGGCCAGAATCCCTGTCCTAGGAAGAGGTTGGGTGAGCCAGGAGCCCACTTCCCCATCCCCCCCCCCCCCGCTGGCCACTAGCTTTACCTTGTACATCAGGAGACTCTGCACTCCCTTCAAGCCGCTCTTGGCCTGTGGAGGAGCCACAGGGATTAGATGTGAAGTGATTTGACACTGGACATTTGAGAACTCAGCCCCCTGTTCCCGTGTTTATGTCTCACAAATATATTCACAATTCCCCATGCATCACCTAAGGAGTCAGTGCAAACTCTCGCCCCCTTGGCTAATACAAAAAGGAATATTCCTGGGGGAAAGAACCCCAGATGAAATGGGGAGTAGCAGAAACAGGACATCATAAAAATGCATCTGTGTTCAAAAGCCGAGTGAAGAATAAAATTGAATGGACAATTTGGAGCCGCAGAAGTTGGCCCCAGGAAACGGGCTTGGAAGTAAAACCCCCCAGCAGGATAGAAGCGGGGTTTGCAGTGTCTGAGAAGGACAAAACACACAAACAAAAAACCCCAATGAATCTTGGTTGTCATTTTTAAATAGGAAAGAAATCCTGCCAAACATGAGAATAGTGAATGGAAAATAAAAGTGGGAAAGATTGTTAATGGTTTAACTGCTGATTCAGTTGATAAAAATATGTGCACTTTAAACGTGGGGTTAAAATGTCCTCTGTCACCCCGGTAAATGGCCTGTGTAGCCCAGCCTCACCGAGCGATACATGTTTCTGACGGTCGGTTGGGTCTTGGCCTTGACAGAATGCAGGAGGGCACCGCCACCTTTCTGGAGAGAGAATGCCAAGGGAGAGAGGCTTAGGCATCTGGTGTTACCCCAGGACCCTCTTCACTCCAGGATGGTGTGACCCCAGACAAGCCCTCCTCCCTTTCTGAGCCTCAATTTCTTCACCTCTATAAATGAGCAAAACAATGACGCTACTTGGGGACTGTTGTGTGATTAAATTAATTCAATAATAATAAACAAGACAGGTGTTCAATACCTTCAGGTTGTCTGCCCAGAGCTGGTAGGAGCGAAGTGTTCCTGGGGTGAGGAGAGAGTGTGGTCATGCCAGGCATGCTCAGGCAGGGGGCTGTTGGGGTAGGGACTCCGGGCTAGATTCAGGGCTCACCTGAGGAGGCCCCGCTGCAGGTGATCTCCTGCTCAAACAGATCTGAGAACCCCTCTCCTGTGTTAAGTTTCTCTAGCCGGCCATCAATGAACTGGGGATGGGAGAAAGGATCAGGGTCACATCTGAATGCAAGGACTAGGAGAAGAAGTCATTCCTGACCAGGCTAGAGGCCCACCCCCAGGACCCAGGAGGTCTGGAACCCACCTCTGGAAGCCAGAGGTCCAACCGGCTCCTCTGGCACCAGGTCAGGATCTGTTATCAGGGATCAGACCCCGCCCCTCACAAGGGCCCGGAAGTCAGATTCTGCCACTTCGGACCTACCCACCTCTCAGGGACCCTGGAAGAGGTTGACCCCACCTTCAGGGACCCTAAAACCCACCCCCGTGATGAAGGATCCTGGAGTCCAACCCACCTTCCTCCAGGAACCCAGGAGTCCGATCGCGCTCCAGCCCCCTCCCAGGTACCCCGAGTCCCCGCCCGCCTCCTCCTCCCTCCCAAGGGATGTACGCACTCTGGACACGCCCAGAACTCCCGAAGACTGGCACAGACTCCACCCTGATCCTGGGACTTGGTCCCGCCCTTATTTCCCCAGCGACCAAGAAGTAGATTTTTGTCCCTTAGGAAATCAGGACGGGAGCTCTCATCTTTAAGAAACCTAGTTCAGTTCTGCCTCCCCAATCTGAAGAGGGAGATCCCGCCAGACCGACTCCACTCTAGTAGCCCCGCCCACAGGACCCAGGCGTGGCGTCTCTAACCCCATCCCCCAGGTCCCAATCCCGCCCTTGGGCTCCGGCGCACCTGTTTGAACAGTTGCAGGTGCACAGCCCGCCGGTGGAAGGCCTGCAAGGGAGCCCCGGGCTTCTGGGCCAAGAAGGCTTCTTCGCTGAAGGTCACAGGCTGGCCCTGGAAGGAGGATTCTCGTCCTGAGCTCCCGGAGGCTCTCCAGGACACCAGCTGCCTCCCTTACTCTACCATCTATCTATGCAGCAAATGCTGATTGAGCGCCTGCCGTAGGACTGCTCTTGTGCAGGGCCTGGTGAGCCAAGGGGAGGATTTGGGCTTTTACCCAGAGGGAGGTGACTTTTACCCAGAGGAGGGAGGAGACCTGACTTGGGTGCTCACGGGTGACTTCTGGCCGCTTCAGGGAGGACAGACTATGAGGTGAGCAATAATGGGGACCAGGCCAGGGTGGAGACAGATGATGGGGAGAAATGGGCAGATTCCAGATGTGTTGCGAAGGCACAGCCAACGGGAACATCAGACACTTAAATAATAGAATTTCCCCCTCAAGTTTTTATAGAATAGTGGAAAACTGAGGGAGGGGGTTGAAAGTCAGCAAATCAGAGTCTTGGGTTTAACACTCACCTACCCTAAGGCTTCTCCAAGCCTCAATTTCTTTACATGTAAAATGGGGCCATAGTGGCACCCATCACATACTACTGTCATGACCATTAAATGAGGTAGTAATAGTAGGACCTAGCATTTGAATACTCATGAAGTGCCAGGCACTATCCAAGCATTTTACTCACGCCAGCCGTTTGGCTGGGTACTACCTGGATCCCATTTTACAGATGAGCAAATGGAGGCATAGAGTAAATACCCTAAATGATATCATCTTCCAGGGTCCACTAGGCCTCCTCCTCAGCATCCCCCGCCCTGCTCACCGGGCTGCAGACCAGCGCATCGCGGTACCCTCCAAAGAGCAGCGCCTGGGCTTTGAGGAAAAGACGGGACACCCCTTCTCCTGGGGCCAGCGCGACCTTCCTTAGCCTCAGCCTCAGCAGGGACACCTGGAGGACAAGGGAGCGGTGCTGAGCGGGTGGGCTTGGGGCCTCCCTCTCCCAGAGGCGCTGGGAGGGTGGGCGGGGTGACACTGACCACGTCGGGAGGCAGCGCCTGCACGTCGTCAAAAGGTGTCTCTAAGATATTGGAGTCCACGTTCATCATCACGACATCTTCCAGGCCTTTCTCCAGCACTCTCTGTGTTGGAGGGTGGTACGGGGACCACAGCTCAGAGTCTGGGGATCCCTGGCGAGGGAGGGGATCTGGGGATGCAGAGGGAGGAAAACTCCGCCCGTCCCTGCCGTCCATGGCCGCGCCCACTGACCTCTGCGAGACTGGCGTGGACTCCGATGAGGTAGGGCATGGGAGCGCTGAGGACGAGCGGAGGGAGCAGGGTCATGTAGGAGCTATGCCCTGGCCCCCAGGCCCCCAGGCCCTGCCCCTCCCCAGGCCCGCCCCTCCCTCACCAGCAGTAGTCCAGTAGGTGCGGCGGCAGGGTGGGGATCAGCACGTGCTCCCATTGCATGGGGTACAGGAGGGCACAGGACGCGTGGACACACGAGGTCAGCTGGGGACGGGTGGGTACTGTGGATGCAGGGCCTGGGCCCGCAGCTTCAAGAACTCCCTCTGGGACGGTTCGAGAGCCCTCTCCCAGCTCCGTTTCCCATCCACCTCACCTTACCCACCCGCTGCTGGGGAAGAGGTGAAGAAAATTCACACCCCTTTAGGAATCAGGTGGAGACCTAGAATTTGGCAAATCACAGGGCTTGGAGCAGGTGGAGCTAGGATAGACAGGTCGGGTAAGAGGCGCTCACTCAGGGGGAGGGGCTGCGAGTGGCCTGCGATTCAGGGCAAATCCTAGGGTTGGGGCTAATATGCAATCCTCCAGGATCCCTCTTCATAAGGGCAGAGCTAACACGGAGCCGCCCTAGCCCCGCCTCTATGGGTGGAGCCACGACTCAGCTCCACGGAGCTAAAATTTATCTTCCTTGGTCCTGCCCTAGGGGCGGAGCCAGCACTCAGCCTCCACGGCCACCCACCCACCCTCCCAGTCCTTCGACCACTTCGGGTCGAGCTGGAATTTAGCGCTCCCGACCTCGCCCTCCCGAGGGGCGGAGCGGGCTTGTTCCTGCCCCAGAGGGTGGGGTCTGGCTCTGCATTCCCCAAGAGGAGCTTCCAATGGCAGCTACGGCGCTGCCCACGCTGCTGCCCCCGCAAAGGTGGAGCCAGCGTTCAGCGCAACCCTGACCTTGCAAGGGTCTGCAGAGCCAGGACTCTGCCCTCGGGGGTCGCCGGGCAGGCGAGGTGAGAGGAGGAGTCCGCCCCCCCCCCCCGTCGCCCCGCCCCGGGGCACGAAGCCAGGTCGGGGCCCCGCCCGCCCGGCCCGGCGGCCCCCCTCACGGTGCTCAGCTTGCTGGCGGTGAGCAGCACCCTCCGCTCGGCCAGGAGCGCCGCGAACAGCCCCACGATGTTCTCGTCGGTCACGGCCACCACCAGCTCCGTGAGGTTCCTCTGGGGGACAGAGGGCAGCGCTGGGCGCTAGGGACCTCAGGGCCGGGCGGTCCCTGCGGGCCTCTTGACCTCCTCCCGCCCCCTCTGAGCAGTCCACTCACGTTCTCCGGAATGGATGGCAGGCGGCCGGCGTCGGGGGCCACGAAGCAGGAAAGCTGGTGGAGATGTGGGGGAGGGGTTGGCGAGGGACCGATCAGTCAGGGGCTGGCTTCACCTGGGAGCCCACCCTTCCAGGCTCCCCAGCCCTGCTCACCGGCCTGATGTTCCCGGGGGCTGGGGGCATCCTCCCGGGCCCACTGGAGACCATCACTCCGCTGCCCTGAGGGAGACGTGTGTCTGTGTGGTCCTTAGGGCTGCGCGGGGGGTGGGGGGAAATGCCTCCCCATCTAACTGGGGTTCGGAGCTACTCACCAGCTCCACAGAGGCCTGGGTCTCTGGCAGGGTCCGCTGCAGCAGGCTTAGAAGTTCCTCGACCTCTGAGACCTGGGTGGGGGTGAGGGGGACTGAGTCAAAGCGTAGGTTGGAGCCCTAGCCGGTTTGGCTCAGCGGATAGAGCGTCGGCCTGCGGACTAAAGGGGTCCCGGTTCCGGGGTTCGAGTCCGGTCAAGGGCACATGTCCCGGTTGCAGGCTCAATCCCTAGTTGGGGGGTGGGGAGGCCTGCAGGAGGCAGCCATCAATGATTCTCTCTCATCATTAATGTTTCTCTTTCCCTTCCTCTCTGAAATCAATAAAAATATGTTTTTAGCTAAAACCGGTTTGCCTCAATGGATAGAGCCTCAGCCTGTGGACTGAAAGGTTCCAGGTTCAATTCCTGTCAAGGGCAAGTATCTTGGTTGCGGGCGGGCACATCCCCAGTAGGGGGTGTGCAAGAGGCAGCTGATCACTGATTCTCTCTCATCGATATTTCTAACTATCCCTCTCTCTTCCTCTCTGTAAAAAAATCAATAAAATATATTTTAAAAATATGTTTTTAAAAAAGCAAAGAAGATCAACCGAAGGACTTGTATGCATGCATATAAGCATAACCAATGGACGAAAAACTCCGGGGAGGGAGGGCATGTATGGGAGTGGGGGTGGGTGGGGATTGGTAAGGTATGTACACATATAATACCTTAATAAAAAAAATGAGAAGAAAAAAAAAAAGCAAAGAAAAGTTAAGTTGGGGATTCTGAAGGTCTTGGCTCAAGCTGGGCGTTCTGAGAAGAGCCCAGGGCTGGGGGCTTTGGGGTGGGGGGCTAGGATTCCTGCGGGATGAGAGGGGGGCTGGTCTCACTTGGTCCTGAGCCAGGAGGTCTCCCACTGTGTTCAGCAGCTTGTAGAACACCTCAAACCAAGGGTGGTGGCTGTAGAGAGAGGACACAGGTTCCGTGAAGTGCGCCTAGGTCCAGGCTCCCCCCAGCCCCTGCCCCATATTCCACACCTGAGGATGCAGAGACAGCTGTGGGCACCGGCCCTTAGGCGGCAGAAACCAAATCTACGGGTGCCGGTCAGGTCTGTGAGGGCGAAGGTGAAATGCTGTACCGCAGGGCTGGGAGGCTCCCTGGAGGTGGAAGATGCTCAGAGACTGGGTTCCAGCTCCTTCACCCGCCCCTGTCCCTCCCCCCCAATTGCTCCTAGTACTGTGTCCATCAGTCTGGGGCCTAGTTGTTAGGGCCCTGATTCCCTGGGTGTCTGAGTCCTTGGGTCTCCAGGTCACTGGATGTCTGCTTTCGTCCTTACCTTTCCACGTCGAAAGGGAAGCAGAATTTAGGCACCATCTGCATAGCTTCCTGGGGGTGGAGAAGAGCACACACTGCGTGGCCACTCGTTTTGGGCCCCACAATCTCCCCAGGGGACTGACCCTAGTCCCACGGGAGCAAGGAAACAGCTGCATACCTGGTCCCTGAAGTCTGGGGGGAACTGCCGCAGAATGGGAGGATCTGCAGGGAGAACAGGCCTCTACATTCAGGGCCCCACCTTCCATCTCCCGTTCCCTCCCCCAGAGTCCTCCCCCACTCACCCTCCTGTAGGGAGGCAGGGCAGGCTGCTTCGAAGAACCAATCAAACACAGCAGGGGGACCCCCTCTGTGGGACAGGAAAGGGCTTGGTGGGTCCATGGACTTGCTTCTTTCTGTGTGTGTGGTTGAATCTGCACGTGTGTGACTCTCTGATTTGTGTGGCTGTGTGTGCATGACTCCCAAGGATTTTGGCAGTGATTGTGTAGATTGAAAGACTAGGTGTGCATGGAATGGTGTAGATTGTGTGTGTGTGTGTGTGTGTGTGTGTGTGTGTGTGTGTGACTGGGAGTATGAAGCAGAGTGAGGGAGCGTGACTGTGTGTGTATGTGCATAACTTGCTTGAGCAGGTGTGTGTGTATGTGTGTGTGTGTGTGTGTGCATGACTTGTGTGAGAAGGTGTGTGAGTGTGTATGTATGGCTTGTGTGAGCCTACAGATGTGTGTGTGTTTGTGATTCTATCTCCTGTTGTCTTGAAAGAATGAGGCTGTCCAGTGTATGTCCTAGGACTGTGACAGTGTGATCAAGCCAAGCCAGTGTGAGGGTGAATAAGTCCATGTTTTCTTGTGTGGCTGTGAGTGTGGGTAGATGTGTGAGCATCTCTCTGGTTTTGAGAGCAAGAGGCCTGGCCTGTGCATCTCTGTAGGTGAAACTTCATGAGGCCTCAGGGGCTGACCTCAAATTTCACACCAGAGAGAGGGCAGCATGTTGAGCCCTGCAGTCTACACCTAGCTCCCTTGTCCCCTGCTTCTGTCCACTACACAAAGGATGCAGTCTTTTGCTTAGGGAGAGAGAAAGCAAACCTGGAGGCAGCAGAAGAAGGTGATGGGACTGATTGCAGACATCCCATCCCTCACCCAGAGACCCCCAACACTTCACCCCATGTTGATACAAGTCCTGCACAAGCATTTGCACACAGGGGCACACACAGTCCTCCCTCACTCTGCTGACTGAGAAACTATGATATGCCAAGAGGTGAGGTACTCACTCAGCATTACAAACTTAGTCATATAGAGGCATAGGGGTGGGTGGGGAGGAGAAAGTACAGAAAGGGGGTGAGGGACTGCAAGTGGCCTGAGTATGGAGTCCGTATTCTAAGCCAGCCGAGTCCAGCCTTGATTTGGGCCACCTGCCCCCGTGGCTCTGGCCTCCTCCCCTGCCTGCCCCAGACCCCCTCCCCTTGGCCTCACCCCATTGATGAGAGAGAAACATGAGAGGGATGTTCTTACTCAGCTCTGGATTCCATGGTCCCTGTTGGGCAGGCCCGGTGGGGCCCTTTCCCCCAAGGGTTCTGGGGGCCCGTGCTTGCTCGGGCCTGGGCCCTGAGCCGGCTCAGCTTCCTGTGTGGCTGAGAGAGGAAGTTTAATGGGTGACGTCCCCGGAGGTAGGCTCCTGCCCCCACCCACTTTGAGAAAACCAGGCCTCCTGTCTCCTAGCCCTTCCTCGGAATGGGTGGGCAATGGGTGACTCAGAGGCCGGACCCCCAGCCCCATCCTGCAGGCCAGGCCAGGCCAGGCCAAGTGTGGTCCCTGCTATCTCACCCAAGCCTTCCCCTCTCTGTGCAGCCCCTGATTCAATTTGCCTGAAGTACTTCCTCTTCCCTCAACTCTTTCATTTGGTCCATCTGCTCCAGCTATTCTTTATCGGACCACCAGAGGGAGCTGGGCCGCAGAATGGACACAGGACACCCCGGAATCAGACAACCAACTGTAATCAGAACACAGGCACAAACACTTGACAGATAACACACATGCAGCCAGGAAGTGACCGACACAGACAAACAGACCAGAACAGTCACAGACAGTAGACAAACACAAAGTTACCAAGGCATGCAGGCAGGCCACAGGCATAGACACAAACAGACAAACTCAGAGGGGCAACACACACAAGGTGCAGTCCTCACCCAGAGAGGTGATAAATGCAGAGAGATAGAACAAAGCCAAAACCGGTTTGGCTCAGTGGATAGAGCGTTGGCCTGTGTACTGAAAGGTCCCAGGTTCGATTCCAGTTAAGGGCATGTACCTTGGTGGAGGGCACGTCCCCAGTAGGGGGTGTGCAAGAGGCAGCTGATCGATGTTTCTCTCTCATCGATGTTTCTAACTCTCTATCCCTCTCTGTAAAAAATCAATAAAATATATTTAAAAAAAGAGAGAGAGAGATATAGCACAAGTTTGCAGCCATAAACAGTCCCAGACAGGGCAACAGGCAGATGGGCACACATGCAGAGATCACAGCTGTCAATGCAAGCAAGATGATAGAGAAACAGACCCGGAAGACAGACAGAAACACGTAGAGCACAGGCATAGCTAGAGCAGTAGAAAAGGGACAGACAAGGTCAGGGCTCAGCCACAAGTCAGATTCATAGCCAGACATCGTTACATGCGTGGGGAGAGACACAGTGGGGCACACCCAATCAGAGCTGCAGACTTAGAGACAGACACATAGGCATACAGATATCATGTTGAAACACAAGGATTCCTAGACAAACTTTCTAACTGGAATCAAGCTTTTGATGTGTTCTGTTATTATGAAAGACAGGTAGGCAAGTGATCAAGAGAATGATTTTGGAGACAGAGAGACATGGGTTCAACATCTGATTCAGTTCTTTAGTGACTATGTGACCTTAGGCAAGTCATTTGATCCCTATGTATTAGATACTATTACTGTGTATTAAATGTTCCTAAGTTAGTGGTTTGAAAGAATACACATTTATGATTTGACAGATTCTGTGGGGACCAGGACTTTACAACAGGGTGTCTCAGTTATAATAAAGGGTATCTGTTGAGCTATGGCTAGCCATTCACACATTTTGGGGGGAGGGGGGAAATAGTAGAAACAGAATGTGCAGAGGCCCTGAGGTTGAATCAAGCTTGATATGATTGAGCACATGAAGAAGGTCACTGTGACTTGAGTGGAGAAGGAGCTCTTTTATTTATTTTTTAATTTTTAAAAATATATTTCATTGATTTTTTACAGAGAGGAAGGGAAGGGGATAGAGAGTTAGAAACATTGATGAGAGAGAAACATTGATCAGCTGCCTCCTGCACACCTCCTTCTGGGGATGTGCCTGCAACCAAGGTACATGTTCTCGACCAGAATTGAATCTGGGACCTTTCAGTCCACAGGCTGACGACTGAGCCAAACCGGTTAGGGCTAGAAAAGGAGCTCTTTTAAAACTCCCTACGTGACTGCTGGCAGGATTTAGTTCATTGTGGATTGTTGGACTGAGGGCCTCAGTTCCTTGCTGGCTATTGGCAAAGGCTGCCCGCAGTTCGTTGCCATGTAAACCTTCCCAACATATTGCTTGCTTTATCAACCTGAGCAAGCTGAGAAGGCAATGGAGTTCATCAAGACAGAAGACACAGCTTTTTGTAATCCAATATCAGAAGGGACTTTTCATCACCTTTGCCATAACTTGTTGGTTAGAAGCCATTGCCAGGTCCAGCCCACACTCAAGGGGAGGAGATCACACAAGGGCATGAATGGAGGAAATGAGATTTTTGGGGCCATCTTAGAAGCCATCTACACTCTATGCCTTTGTTTTCTCACTTTGACATGAGGAGGACAGAACTCTTACTTGCCTACCAGTGTGGCATAAAGTCATTCATTTGCTTGCTCACCCATTCAACAAATAATTACTGAGGGCCTGTGTTGGCATGTGTTGACCAAGGTGGATTCCTGTACTCATGAATCTTACATTTCAGTTGGGAGGTAAGGGGACAGACAAAAGAAACAAGTATATAAACAGGTAAGTGATAGAAAGCTACTGGGTGCTAATTTAGAGTTGCCAAGGAGGCTGCTCAAAGGAGATATTTGAACTGAAATCTGTGGGTGAAAAAGGGCTAGCCATTCACACATTCAAGAAAAATAAATAGTAGTGCAAAGGCCCTGAGGTTGAATCAAGCTTGATATGATTGAGCACATGAAGAAGGTCACAGCTTATTGAGTGTGTGTGTGTGTGGGGAGGGTGATGGGATATGTAGTCAAAAGATGCGCAGATGAAGGTGAGAGTTTGGGTTTCAGTCTGAGTGAGACTGAAGTCATGGGGCGGTTTGGATAAGGTCTTATTTGCATGTGAAAGCTTATCTGGCTGTGGGGGAAGGAGGATACACTACAGGGGCAGGGGTGGCAGGAGGGAACTCAGGGAAATGATTGGGGTTATCTGTATGAACAGTTATGGTGGCTTAGATCAGAGTATAGACAGGTGGATAGAAGAGGTCAAGACACAGTTTGGAGACAGAAACAACTAGACTCAGCAAAAGATAGGAAGAGTGTGCTGGGTGTGGGAAACAAGGAATCAAAGCTGACTCATAGATTTGGGGTTTGAGTGAGAGGACAGCACTACTTAATTGGGAAAAGGTGTTGTGGGGTCGAACCCTGGGTTAAGACCACCGCAGGCTGGTTAATTAATTAAAAAAAAGCAAGCAAGGATTTATTGACTGGCCAGGATAGCCACAAGAGCACCACACGCACGTGGACTCCAAATGACTGCACCATTTCAGGGGTAGGCAGTCCCTTTTAAAGGTTCAAACCACAGGAATTTTCCTTTGTTCTAAATTCTAAATCCTAAAGACTAAATTCTAAAGACTGGGGACAGCCCGCAGGGTAGGTTCCAAGTCACATCCTGCTGGACATTGGAATGTGGCCCTATCTTGCAATAGCGATAACACAGAAGCAGAGCTCAGCGGTTAGACTCTAAACGTTATCTACAGTTTCTATCCCTGAAGCTACTGAGTCAGTGGGAATCATTCTCCTGTGGTCCTGGTCCCAGGCAAGGGAAAATTGCCTTAGCCTCCAGGTCTTCACCTGAAAGCTGAGGTAAGTACCCTGTGTTTTAATCAGATGCAAGGGCCAAACTAGAAGGGTTAAAATTCAAATAGCAGCTTTTACCAAAGTATGGTTGCCACTGTATTTCAAAAGGGAGGTTGTAGGGGTAGAATAGGGAGTTCTTTTGTGGCCACATTAGGTTTGAGATGCCAAAGACAGCCAAGTTCATTGCCTAGTCCACTGCCTGCTCCACCACCGAATTCTGTGCTGGGCCTGCTCAGATGAGGGTTGCTGTGGGCTGGATATCCAGGCTGCCTTTCTCACACTTCTCCTGCCTCCTGCCTGCCTGTGGTGGACCCAGTGATGAGGGTGGTGGGGGATGGGGGGCGGCTGGGTCCCAGCATAGAGTGTGAAGAGAATAGTTAATTGGCTCTCAGTCTCCCTCCATTCTTCTTTCTCTTCCTCCTGGTTTGCCTCCCTGTATACTGCAGAAGCTTTGAAGAGCTACATTTCCTAGACTTTTTTGCTGCTCTGGTTTTGGATGAAGAAGTGATTCTACCAACTAGAAATTTGGAAGATAGAATTGAGGTAGACCTCCCCTCCTCTGTGTGTGTGTGTGTGTGTGTGTGTGTGTGTGTGTGTGGTGTGTGTGTGTGAATCCTGCTGGATATTAATATTTAATTAACTTTATATTCATTTTAGTTGATTTTTGCAGAGCACTCCAGTGGACCTATCTTCAGCTCTGCGGGTCTTTGGAGGTGCTCTTGAACTAAGTTAATAGCTCTAATGGCAGCCTGCCGGCTCTTCACCTTTCTCACTAAGCAGAGGAAGCAGCTCCCTAGTGGCAGCTTTGTGCTGTGCCGGCCTATTCCCGGGCTACTCAAAATGTGGTCTCATAGGCAGCCTCACCTGGGAACTTGTTAAAAATGCAAGGTCTTGGCCCCCTCACCCCCCAGCCCTGCTGAATCAGAAACTCTAGGGTAGGACCCAGGAAGCTGTGTTCTAGCCAAGTGTTGCTGGTGATGCTTGCACACTGAAATTTAAGAAGCACTTGCTTACACCCCACTCTCTCAATCCCTCCAACGGTGTTGTAATCCTTCTATTAAATTCCTTTCTGCTTAATGTGCCCAGAATGGTCCCTACACTGAACGCTAGGCAATAAAGTGGAGTAAGAGTTCTAGACTTAAACTGTCAGGCTTTGAACCCCAGCTCACTGCTTCATAGTCATGGGACCAAACTGGAATTTCCAAAGATGGCTACTGCCTTATATCTCCCACCCCACCTGCTCTTAGGGGATCTTGCGTCTCTGCACTCCAGAGGTGTGTGTAGAGTCTATATCCCACTCCCTTGAACATGGACACGATTTTGAGGAGTCCAGAGGACACTGAGTGACTCCTGAAGGCAGGTAAAAAAAAAAAAATGCATTGCATTCTGCTTGCTCTCCTGGAATGCTTGCTTTTGGGGACTACTGTGAGAAAGCCTGAGCAGACTATGGAGAGATACTGATGCCCTCATTCTATCTGCCCCCTGTTGCACCCCCAGATGACAGTTGGCATTAACTTGGCAGCCATAGGAGTGAGCCACCTTGAAGTAACCCCCTCAGTGGAGATTCTCTAGCTGATGCCACAGGGAGCAGAGACAAGCTACCTTGCCAAGCCCTGTCCCAATGACAGATTTGGGAACTAAATAAATAACTGTTGTTGTTTTAAGCCCCTAAATTTTTAGAGGACAGCTACACAAGAAAAGCTAATGGAGATCCAAGATGGCTGCACAGGTAAACACCTAACCGCAGCTGCACACAACAATTTCAATAAAATACAACTAAAATATAAAATGGACATTGCCCAGAACTACAGGAAAGTCGACTGACTGGAAATTCTACAACGAGAAGCAAGGAGAAAACCAGAAGGAAGAGCAGAGGAGCTGTAAAAGCCTAAGGTACAGAGACACGTGGCACACGGAGAGGATGGAGCCGGAGAGGAGGGGGAGGCTGAGTGCCTGGCTGGTGTTCCCTAGCGGGAAGGAGATAAAAGCTCCTTTTGTGCTGAACCCCAGACCCGACAGTGCTGAACCCCAGTTCTAGGCCAGACCTTAGGGACCCAGGCTCAAACAAAGGGAGCCTGGACTGTGAGGTGGAATCCCAGGGGAGCGGCAAAAGGCAGAGCCCCCAGAGTCGAGCACATTGTGCACAGAGAAGGGACGGTTGGCTGTGCTGCGGGATTGCCCTGGCGGGAAGGAGACAGGGGCTCCAGACTGCTCTGAACACCAATCCCACTTCCAACTGAACTGAACCCCAGTTCCAGGCCCATTGGGGGAGAGACTAGAATGTTTGGTAGCAGGTGAAACTCGAGGGCACCTCACTCTCAGAGGTGCTTGCAGCGAGTACTGAGGGACCCTGAGGAATACTGAGACTCAGGAGCCACATAGGGCATGGCTGAGCATAGGGCATGGCTGAGCATAGGGCATGGCTGACAGAAGCCAAGCCTGTAGGCTCCACCCTGAAACTCCGCCCCATCAGGGAAGCTGCGAAAATGCCGAGACAAGGAAATAGATCACAAACGAAAGAAATGGAGGACAAAAAGCGACTGGATATAGAGTTCAAAACCACACTTATAAGGTTGTTCAAGAATCTCTAGAAAAGGCCGATAAAATAAATGAGGCCTATGAAGATATGAAAAGGGATCAACTAGAAATAATAAGGGATCAACAAGAAATAATAAGGGATCAACAAGAAATAAAGAATACATTGTCTGAAATAAAAAATATTATACAGAGTCCTAAAAACAGAATGGAAGATCGCAAGAATCAAGTCAAAGATTTGGAACATAAAGAGCCAGAAGACACTCCTCCGCAGAAGCAAGAAGGCAAGAGAATCCAGAAAGTTGAAGATAATGTAAGAAAACTCTGGGACAACTTCAAGCGAACCAACATCAGAATTATGGGGGTCCCAGAAGATGAGAGAGAGCAAGATATCAAAAACATACTGAAAGAAGACCGACGCAGAGACAAAGCCCAAGTCCACCTAGCCGTCTGGCCCTGGCTTCCCTCCTGCGGAAGCTGCTTTCCTCCCGGCGCACTGGTGTGGCCCCTCGAGGGGAGTGCAGGGCTCTGTCCGCCGCCTGCCAGCCATCGGCCCGGGCGGGAGGCCTGTCCCAGCCCCTCTCCCCACAGCCCCGGCGCCTTTTCTGAGCAGCTTGAGCTCCTTTTGTAAAATAACCTGTTGTGTCGCTGTCCAATAGTCCAATAAAGCCGAGAGGCAGACCCTCCCGCCTCGGATGGTTGTAAAAAAAAAAAAAAAAAAAAAAAAAAAAAAAAAAAAAAAAACATACTGAAAGAAATAGTGACAGAAAACTTCCCCCACCTGGTGAAAGAATTAGACTTACAAGTCCAGGAAGCGCACAGAACTCCAAACAAAAGGAATTCAAAGAAGACCACACCAAGACAAATCATAATTAAAATTCCAAGAGCAAAAGACAAAAAGAGAATATTAAAAGGAGCACCTATACGATTGTCAGCTGATTTCTCAATAGAAACCATGCAGGCCAGACGGGAATGGCAAGAAATATTCAAAGTGATGAATAGTAAGAACCTACAGCCAAAAATAATCTACCCAGCAAAGCTATCACTCAGAATCGAAGGCCAGATAAAGAGCTTCACCAATAAAAAAAAAAAAAGCTAAAGGAGTTCACCACCAAACCAGAATTATATGAATTGCTGAAGGGGATTCTTTTGGAAGAGAAAGTAAATAAAGATTACTTTATTTAAACTATGAACAACAAATAAGTAACTATCAACAAGTGAATCTAAAAACCAAAAAAATAAAAAAAAATCTGATGAACAATATTAACTGGTGAATATAATAGAATCAGAGGTATGGAAGGGGAGTGAACTGACAATTCTCAGGGAAAAGGGAAGATGGGGATGTGGGAAGAGTCTGAACATAAACTGTGCACCTATGGATGAGGACAATGATGGGTGGGGAAAGGGTGGGAACCTGGTGGAGGGGGACAACAGAGGGGGGAAAAATGAGGAACATCTGTAATAATATGAACAATAAAGATTAAAAAAAAAGCTAATGGATATGCTTTGTAGGCTCAGATCTTACAGAGTTCATGTGAGAGTTACATGAGATAAGTGAGGCATGTCAGGAACCTCCAAGTGCTCCATCTGTGTTAGTGACTGTTGTTCTGATAGGACTGTCCCTTGGATGCTAGCTCCAGGATGCCACCGCCCCAGTGCCCTTCCCTAAAGACCCCTTCTGCTTTCCATACTTGCTAGATGCCCCACAGGACATGGCAACAGCTCCATTGCCAAGCACTCCTTGTGCCAGGCCCTTTGCCCATAAGAGCTCTCGAATCCTCACTAACATTCCTGGGGTGTGTGTGTGTGTGGGGATCATGGGGGAAATATACAATCCCATTTTACAGGTGAGCAAATCGAGGACCAGAGAGCACACGTGCTTACTCCACACCACACAGCGGGTGGTCCAGCCCCTCTGTCTGACTCTACAATTTTTGCCTCCTTCCTTCCTCCCCACCTTAGATGTCTCTTGAGCACCCACCTTCATCCTTTAGGGGGAGCCCTTGCTCGTTGGCCTTCCCACAGGGAGATGGAAAATGCACTCGGCAGAAACATGGCAAAACAACAATTTATTTATTGAGGGTGAGTCAGAGGGAAGGAGGTGGGGAGGGATGGGGGCACAGCCTCTCTCGTCCCAGGTTCCAGGGCTGCTTCTCCCCACACAGCTGCCCTCCACCAGCCCTGGAAAGCCAAGGTCAGTGGGAGTTGAGGGGAGTGAGTTCAGGGATAAAACAGGGGAATTACAGAAGTCAGAAAGAACGTGGGGTCAGAAGGTGGGTGGGCTTGTGGGGCCAAAGGTGAGGCATGGTTGGAGGTGAAGGGAGGCTCAGAGGGAAAGGGGTGTTGTAAGTAGACTGGGGTTTATTTGTCTGGGGGTGCATTTGGATGGTGTGGGTAAGGTCATATAGGTGAAGGAGAGGTCACGGCAAAACAGGGTTCATGGAGTTAAATGTGGGCCAACATGGGGCTTGGAGCTCGAAGGTCAGCTGAGATCAGGGGAGGAGTCAAGGTTATAGGGTCAGAGCTGAGTCAGGCTCGGTGATAATATAGGGCTCTCATGAGGGCCCAAGAAGGGCTCTAAGGGGTCAAAGGTAAACAGCCCAGCAGGGGTGGGGGCAGACCCGGGTGAATGAATGAATGAACGAATGAGATGGTCTAGGCCACCTCCTCCTCGGCCTCTTCCTCAAACTCGCCCTCCTCGGCCGTGGCGTCCTGGTACTGCTGGTACTCGGACACCAGGTCGTTCATGTTGCTCTCGGCCTCGGTGAACTCCATCTCGTCCATGCCCTCGCCCGTGTACCAGTGCAGGAAGGCCTTGCGCCGGAACATGGCGGTGAACTGCTCCGAGATGCGCTTGAACAGCTCCTGGATGGCCGTGCTGTTGCCGATGAAGGTGGCGGCCATCTTCAGGCCCCGGGGCGGGATGTCGCACACGGCAGTCTTCACGTTGTTGGGGATCCACTCCACGAAGTAGCTGCTGTTCTTGCTCTGCACGCTCAGCATCTGCTCGTCCACCTCCTTCATGGACATGCGGCCCCGGAACACGGCGGCCACGGTCAGGTAGCGGCCGTGGCGCGGGTCGCACGCGGCCATCATGTTCTTGGCGTCGAACATCTGCTGCGTGAGCTCGGGCACGGTCAGGGCGCGGTACTGCTGGCTGCCGCGGCTGGTGAGCGGCGCGAAGCCCGGCATGAAGAAGTGCAGGCGCGGGAAGGGCACCATGTTCACGGCCAGCTTGCGCAGGTCGGCGTTCAGCTGGCCCGGGAAGCGCAGGCAGGTGGTGACCCCGCTCATGGTGGCCGACACCAGGTGGTTGAGGTCCCCGTAGGTGGGCGTGGTCAGCTTCAGGGTGCGGAAGCAGATGTCGTAGAGGGCCTCGTTGTCGATGCAGTAGGTCTCGTCCGTGTTCTCCACCAGCTGGTGCACGGACAGCGTGGCGTTGTAGGGCTCCACCACCGTGTCCGACACCTTGGGCGAGGGCACCACGCTGAAGGTGTTCATGATGCGGTCGGGAAACTCCTCCCGGATCTTGCTGATGAGCAGCGTGCCCATCCCGGACCCCGTGCCCCCGCCCAGCGAGTGGGTCAGCTGAAAGCCCTGCAGGCAGTCGCAGCTCTCAGCCTCCTTTCGGACCACGTCCAGGACGGCATCTACCAGCTCTGCGCCCTCCGTGTAGTGGCCCTTGGCCCAGTTGTTGCCGGCTCCAGACTGGCCTGAGAGGGAAGGGAATGGGACACAGGGGCGGTTATAGGAAAAACCTCCCTCGCCTCTCCCCCGCCATCCTAGTGGTTGAATAATAAATTAAAAAATTATTATTAGAGATGACATACATTATTGTAATTTTGTTGTTACGATTATTCATTGTTCTCTCTGCTTCCATCCTTTCCCCTCCTTTCAGCTGTTCCTTGCACATCTTCCCTGCCTGTCAATGCCCTAATCATCTTTAGGCCGCAGACATTAATAACAATAATGATCATGAAAACAACAGCAAGTGCTTATTTACCTCTTTCTCTAGGCATTGTTCTAAATCCTTTACACATGCTAATGGCTTTGAGCCACACAAGCCTGTGAGGTAGATTTTTAAAAATATATATATTTTATTGATTTTTTGCAGAGAGGAAGAGAGAGGGAGAGTTAGAAACATCAGTGAGAGAGAAACACCAATCAGATGCCTCCTGCACACTTCCTACTGGGGATGTGCCCGCAACCAAGGTACATGCCCTTGACCGGAATCGAACCTGGGACCCTTGAGTCTGAAGGCCAATGCTCTATCCACTGAGCCAAACCGGTTAGGACAAGGTAGATTTTTTTTTTAAAAAAATCTCTATTTTAAAGACGAGGAGTTAAGCACAAAAAGACTGCCCAGAGTCACCCAACTGACTGGATCTGTGCCTGGGCGTTACTTGCTTGTATTGCCATCCTACCTCCGTCCCTCAGGATGCCAGCTCCAGAGGAGAAGAGAGCTTTGTCTGTTTTGTTCTCATGTGTATCTCCCTGGGGCTACAGTAGGACCTGCATGCAGTAGGTGCTCAATAAATGTGTGTAGAATGCATGAAGTGGCAGGGCCGGGGCTTTTGTGCAGGAAGGCTTCCTTACCCACCCCCACCACCCCAGCCACCATATCAGATGCCTCCCCTGGGCTCCCACAGTCGCCAGGCTGTCGCCAACACAGCCCCGGCTGCCCTGTCCGCCTCCCCCACTGGGCTGCGGGGCCTGAGGTGGGGAGTGTTCACTAAGCCTTTGGACGTGAAAGGAGCGAGGGGGCTTCCCTGCCTGCGCGCCATGCCTGGCACTCACCAAACACGAAGTTGTCAGGCCGGAAGATCTGGCCAAAGGGGCCCGAGCGGACCGAGTCCATGGTGCCTGGCTCCAGGTCCACCAGCACGGCCCTGGGCACGTAATTTCCTCCTGCAGGGAAGCAGATGGAGGTCAGCTGGGGTGAGCGCCAGGAACCAGCATGCAGTCCTCCCCTCCACATCCCCCCTCCCTGCATCCTTCCCACCCCCACGCCAGAAGGTGCTCCTGCATCCTACCTGTGGCCTCATTGTAGTACACGTTGATCCTCTCCAGCTGCAGGTCACTGTCCCCATGATAGGTGCCCGTGGGGTCGATGCCATGCTCATCACTGATCACCTCCCAGAACTACAGGGGTGGTGGTGGTGGTGGTGGTAAGAACCGATAGAGAGGGAGAGGGGATCCAGGCCTGCCCCGGCCTCCCATCTTCTGGGCTCAGGACCCCCAACCACCTCCCTGGCTGCCACCTGTCCCCCAGCAAGGTGAAGGGTGGGGGCTAAAGGCATGGTGGGGAGGCAGGGATGAAACAGCAAGAAGGGAGAGGTGGGGGCAGGGTGAAGCAGAGCCGCCAGCCACGACTGCCAGTGTCCGTGCACCCTGGCTGCAGCCAGCGGGAGAGGCTGGGACTGGGACCCTTTGTGCGTGTGCAGGGGACAGTGGGCCAGCTGTGAGGCCAGCTGTGGTCAGCAGACAGAAGGCTGGGCCCCACCCCCATTGGCCTCTTTGTTCCCCGCCTGGTCCAGCCCCGGCGCCCCCCTCCCACACCGTCCCTGGGGTGCTGGCCTCCTGGACACCCCGACCGCCCAAAGGCCCAAGGTGGGGGAGTTCAAGGGCCCCGCTCCACTCTTCCCAGCCACCTCCCGGGGCCGGTTCCCCAGCGCACCTTGGCCCCAATCTGGTTGCCGCACTGGCCGGCCTGCAGGTGCACGATCTCGCGCATGGCGGTGGCGCTGCTGGCGGACGCGGTGGCGGTGGCGGTGGCGCTGGTGCTGGGTGCTGTGGTGGCGGGGCAGGCGGTGGACGCGGTGGATGCAGTGGTGGCGGCGGCGGCGGCGGTGACGACGACGAAACACGGTCCCGAGTCCCCCGCGTGCCTCTATAAGAAAGGGTGGGGCCCGCGTCACCGCCTGTCACCGGCCCGCTCCGCCCCCTGGTCCCGCCCCGGGACGGAGCAGACTGGGGTGAAGGGAGCGGGCCACCTGGGGACCTCTCGGGGCTCGCGCTGGGGCTCTCCAGGACCCTGTGCGCCCCCACCCCAGGCCTTGACGGGGAGACCCGTTAGGGGCTATCAGCACCTTCTACTCCCACCGCTCCCCGCCCCCAGCCTGGTCTGGCGACTCGCGTTTTGCAGAGATTGGGCGGGGGAAGGGATCAACAAGCATGGGGACATCCTGTGCTCCACCCCACACCCCACACTCCACCCTGGCCCAGGAGGCCCTGCCTCAGTTTCTCTGTCCGAACCGTTCCATGTTACATACCTTCCCTAGAACTCTTTCATTACTGGGAGGGCTCCTTGTGGGCTCAAGCTGGCGGGAGTTGTGATTTGTCTTGGAGAGGGGGAGGGCGGTAGGCTCTTGGAGGACTGGAAGCTGCATAGTCAGTAAAACCAGATTTTCCTTCCATGTTTCCGGGGAGTGTTTGTGGAAGCTGATGGAGGCTTGTGGGGTCCCTGAACACTTCTGCTGGGCCTTGGGTTTGCAGCAGGCGGGGTCACCCTAGCTTTGCCTGGGTTGGAACTTCAGGGAGTTAAGACAGAGCTGGATTTCCAGGGGGGAGGAGGAATGGCGAGCTGTGGGGACTGCTTTGCTTTCTTCAGATCTGCACCTCTCTGCTCCGGTGTTATAATTTATTACAAGCTAGTATCCTACCTTTCACAGCTCCTGTTGGCCCTATGACCTTGCCTGGGCAGCTTTGCCTCTCTGGCTGAATTTTCTCATCTGCAAGACAGGCAGTCAGGAATGCCCTCCCCCCAGTCCCGCAGGGAAAGTCAGATGAGATGGCCCAGTGAGCAAGATGGCCCCAGTTTCTCCTCGCACAGAGTAAACAATAAATTGTAGCTATTAGTATTACAATTATTATCAGGGGCAGTACAACACTTCCTGTGATGTCCCTTAAGTGAAGGCCAGATCCCTTTTCTTTTGTTAATCTCACCGAGGATATGATTTTTATAGAGAGTGGAAGGGAGGGGAAGAGACACACAGAGAGAAACATTGATATGAGAGATACATCCCTTGGTGCCTCCCGCATGTGTCCTGCCGGTGTAGGGATCAAGCCTGCAACTGAGGTACATGACCTTGACTGGAACTGAACCTGCCACCATTCAGTAAATGGGCCAACACTCTAACCAGTGAGCCAAAACCGCTAGGGCCAGACCCCTTTTAAAAATTATTATTGTTATTATTTTAAAATATTTATTGAAAGTATTACATATGTCCCCCTATGCCCTATTCACCTCTTCTAGCTCACCACTACCCCTGCTTTCACCACCATATTATCTGTCTTCACGAGTTATGCATATATGCATACAAGTTCTTTGGTTGATCTCTTCCCATCCATCCCTTTCTTCCCTCTGAGATTTGATAATCTGTTCCATGCTTCTATGTCTCTGGATCTATTTTGTCCATCAGTTTATTTTGTTCATTAGATTCCACATATGAGTGAGATCATGTGATACTTGTCTTTCTCTGACTGGTTTGTTTCGCTTAGCATAATACTCTCCAGGTCCCTCCATGCTGTCTCAAATGGTGAGAGATTCTTCTTTTTTTACTATTGCATGGTATTCCCTGGTGTAAATGTACCACAGCTTCCCCCCCTCCTCCCCCACTCATCTACTGATGGGCACTTGGGCTGTTTCCAGATCTTAGCTGTTGTAAATTGCACTAGTATGAACATAGGGGTGCATACATTCTTTCTGATTGGTGTTTCTAAATTTCTTGAGATATATTTTTAGAAGTGGGATCACTGGGTCAAATGGCAGTTCCATATTTAAATTTTTGAGGAAACTCCATACTGTTTTCCATAATGGTTGCACCAGTCTGCATTCTCACTGGCAGTGCACTAGGGTTCCCTTTTTTCCATATCCTCACCAGCACTTGTCATTTGTTGATTTATTGATGGTAGCCATTCTGACAGGTATGAGGTGATGCCTTGTTGTTGTTTTAATTTGCATCTCTCTGATGATCGGTGCCTTTGAGCATTTTTTCAGTGTCTCTTGGCCATCTGTATGTTCCCTTTGGAGAAGTATCCATCTAGGTCCTTTGCCCATTTTTTTATTGGATTGTCTTCCTTTTGTTAAGTTGTATGGGTTCATTATGTATTTTGGATATGAACCTTTCATCAGATGTATCATTTTTTTTGATGGTTTCTTTTGATGATTTGCATCTCTCTGATGATTCTCTGTGGAGAAGCTTTTTTTTTTTTTTTTTAAATATATATATATATATATATATATATATATATATATATATATATATATATATATTTTATTGATTTTTTACAGAGAGAAAGAGAAAGGGATAGAGAGTTAGAAACATTGGTGAGAGAGAATCATCAATCAGCTGCCTCTTGCACACCCACACTGGGGATGTACTCGCAACCAAGGTACATGCCCTCAACTGGAATTGAACCCGGGACCCTTCAGTCCACAGGCCGACGCTCCATCCACTGAGCCAAACTGGTTTCGGTGAGAAGCTTTTTTTTTTTTTTTTTTTTTTTTTTTTTTTTTTTAATATTTTTATTGATTTCAGAGAGGAAGGGGAGAGAGAGAGAGAAACATCAATGATGAGAGAGAATCATTGATTGGCTGCCTCTTGCACACCCCCTACTGGGGATTGAGCCTGAAACCTGGACATGTGCCCTGATCAGGAATCAAACGGTGACCTGCTGGTTCATAGGTTGAGGCTCAACTACTGAGTCACACTGGTGGGGTCAAACTCCCTTTAAAAAAATATATATATTTTATTGATTTTTTATAGAGAGGAAGAGAGAGGGATAGAGTTAGAAACATCGACGAGAGAGAAACATCGATGAGCTGCCTCCTGGAATCGAACCTGGGACCTTTCAGTCCACAAGCTGACGCTCTATCCACTGAGCCAAACCAGTTTCGGCCAGACTCTCTTTTGATGGCAGCTCCAGCTCTGCCATCCAGGAGCTCCCTCCTTGCCTCCTAGGGCTTCCAGCCATTGAGTCAGCCACTTCAGCCATATGGCTGGTCCTTCACATTCACCAATGGCCTCTAGTAGTTCTCAACTGGGGACAATCTGCCTTCCAGCTGGCAATATCTGGAGACACTTGTGGTTGTCATGTGTGGGTGGCAGTTGTGTGTGTGCTCCTGGCATCTAGTGGGGACAGGGTGAGGTGCTAGATATATACAGTGCACAGGACTGTCTCTCTCCTTCCTTCACCAGACTCATCTGGGCCCAAATGTCAATAGTGCTGACAATTACTGAGTTAATTAACTGGGAAAAATTAAGTTAGCCCTCCAGCTAACTGAATAAATCCCTGATGGATGAGATGGTATAAACCAGGTTGACCCCTTGCCTCTGTCCATCACCTCCTCTCTCCATTCCATCTAAATGTGTACAGCATCCTAGTGAGACAGATAAGTAAACAATGACAAGCGGAAAAGGGAAACTGAGACAGATAGTTAAACGACCAAGAAGTTTACAGCCATCTAGTAAATCGCAAAATCTTATCTTCCCTAACCAACAACACTCAAGAGTAAATGGGCCCTGAATGGAGCATTGTCCCATACACCAAAAGGTTGTGACTTCAAATCCTCGTCAGGGCACACAATTAGGTTTCAGGTTATCCCCAGTCGGAGTGCATGGAGGAGGCACCTGATTAATGTTTCTTTCTCTTTCTCCCTCTCTCTGAACTCAATGAAAACATATAAAATTTTAAAAAATAAAACAAAAACATATTCTTGGGTGAGGGGTAAAAAACCCCACAACCTCATGGACACAGATAGTAGTGTCTGTGATCAGAGGGAAAAGGGGATGGGGGAGATAGAAGTAGGTATAGGGGGATAAATTGTGATGGAAGGAGACTTGACTTAGGCAGTGAACCCGTAATCCTATATAATAAAAGGCTAACATGCAAATAGGCTGAATGGCAGAGCAACCGGAACAACCAAACAACTGGTTGCCTGACAACAACCAAACAACGACGTGTGCTGACCACCAGGGTGTTACTAGCACCTGGTGGGTGGAACATGGTGGGCGTTGGCTGTGGCGAGATGGTAGAGCAGGTGAGCAGGGGTGCAGGTTGCTGTCATAGGGGTGAGCCTCTGGTGGTTACTGAAAATTCTTTGCTCCTGCACACTGAGGTTCCACTTGGCACTCGCACCCACAGCCAGCACTGGAGTCACCGTTTGCATCTGCTGCCAGTGCTTGGAGCTGGTCCCAATCACTCGGCACAATCAGCAGTGGCTGCCAGCCCTGATCACCCCTGAGGGCTTCTCCACCTCCCCCTGCTCCTGAGAAGTGACTGGGGCAGCAGCTGCTGCTCACACCCACTGCTGGCGCCAGTCCCAGTCACTCCACATCATCAACAGGTGTGAGCGGAGCCAGTGCTGTCAGCACGTGGGAGCAGCAGAGATGGAAGTGGGGCTGCTGGCAAACGGGGGATAGGGGAGTGGGCCTGTGGCAGGAGGGGCTGGGTGAGGGTGCAGAGGATGGGCCGAGACCTGCCCCTGTGCCTACTGCAGCCTTGTAGCCCACAGTTCCTTTCAAGTTGCATGAATTTGTGCACTGAGCCAATAGTACAATATACAGATGATGTATTATAGAATACACCTGAAGCCTATATCATTTTATTAAACAACTAGAGCCCCAGTGCATGAAAATCGTGTGCAGGAGAGGGTCCTTCAGCCCGGCCTACACCCTCTCCAATCTGGGGCCCCTTGGGGAATGTCCGACTTCTGATTGTGGGGTAGGGCCTAAACTGGCAGTCGGACATCCCTCTCACAATCCGGGACCGCTAGCTTCTAAATGCTAACCTACCTACCTGCCTGATCACCCCTAACCACTCTGCCTGCCTGCCTGGTAGCCCCTAACCACCTCTGCCTCAGTCCCACCACCATGGCTTTATCCGGAAGGACATCAGGA